ACTTGCACACAGACAGACAGACACATGCACACACACACACACTCACATACACGCATGAGCATGCACACAGACACACAAGAACAGAGAGACACACAGACAAACACAGAGATACATGCACGCAGACACACATACACACACACACACACAGACATAGACACACACACGCACACACACACACAGACATACATAGACACACACATACACACACGCACATAGACAGACATAGACACATGCGCACAGACACACATGGACAGACAGACACACAGACAAACACACACTAACACACACAGATACACACATGCAGACACGTGCACACACACACGCACATATGCACAGACACACATGGACAGACAGACACACAGACAAACACACGGACACACACAGATACACACAGACACACACACGCAGACACACACACACACATAGACAGACATGCAGAGATACACAGATACACACACAGACACAGACACACACACACATAGACAGACATACACACACACACACACAGACTCATGCACACAGACACACAAAGACACAGACACATATAGACACACAGACACATAGACACACAGACACATGCACACATACACACATAGACACACAGACTCACGCACGCGCACATGTGCGCAGACACACACACAGATACATACAGACACGCGCACACGCACACACACAGCCATGCACACAAACACACATAGACACACACACACACACACACAGAGGCATACACACAGGCAGACATAGACACACACACACACGCACACACAGACACAGACACACAGGCATACACACAGACAGACATAGACACACACACACATGCACACAGACAGACATAGACACATGCACACAGACACCCACACACACGTGCATGCGCACAGACACACATGGACAGACAGACACACAGATAAACACACACACACACATACACACACACACAGCTACATGCACGCACGCACACACACACACATACACACACGCACGCACACACACACACAGATACATGCACGCGCACACACACAGATACACGCACGCGCACACACACACACAGATACACGCACGCGCGCACACACACACATACACGCACGCGCGCACACACACACATACACGCATGCGCGCACACACACACATACACGCACGCGCACACACACACACACACACACACATAGACAGACATGCAGAGATACACAGATACACACACACAGAGACACACAGACACACACACATAGACAGACATACACACACACACAGACACACATAAACACATGCACCCACACACACAGATACTAACAGACACACATACACACATTTAGACACACGTTGACACACAGACACATGCACACACACGCACAGGAAATATAATTGCAGCAGGCAGCGGAACTGTTAATCTTTCCCTATCAACCTCCCCGGAGAACATGTCAGACAGCAATCAACCAGGCACAATTTGTGACTGCTCAGTACTTGGCAGGGACATTTTAATAGAAAGCACTGAGTATGTTTGATCAAATTCTTTTTATAATTATAACGGTCATGTAACATTGTTGCCTGTGAAGGGGATAAGATGGTTGCTGCTGAGGGGCAGGTAGGGGTAGGTGTGGGCTGGAGTTAAGTGAGGGGGATAGGTTTGATGTCACATGGGGAACATTTCAGGGGATGCTGATCCAGTGTCAGTGATTCCTGGCTTGTCAGTCGCTGACCTAAGCAGCGCAAAGTCGAAGTAACTTCAATAACTGCTCAGCGTAATGCATCAGACTATCAATAAAAGTAATCACAATGAATATATCTATCTCGAGGCTGGTTCATTATGTATATTCAAGGCTGTGATAGACACATTTTTAATCAGGAAGGGAACTGAGGGTAATGGGGAAAAGACAGGAAAGTGGAGTTGAGGATTATCAGATCAGCCATGATCTCATTGAATGGCAGAGTAGACTCGATGGGCTGAATGGCCTACTCCTGCTCCTATGGCTGAACGTTTTATGGAAGGGTTCACCTGTCCAGTGAGAGAATTTTAAAACAAAAACTGTAATGAATGGAGACTGAAATATAGTTTTGAGCTGTTTCAGCTCCACAACAGTGTTCCCTGTGATTGAGAAAGAATCCAATCTTTTTAGGTCAAATTGACTGTGTTTAAATATGCAACAAAGCTCATGCCAAGTCTATGCATGACCGAGCTCCTGGGTTCTTAGGCATTGCCTTTTTGCTTTAATAGCTGCTGATTTCGAAAGTGACTTACCAACAAGCATTAGTGTCAGAATTCTGTATCTGTCATACAATGGGCACGGTGCATTGTGAGTGAGTGACCAGGACAGTGAGGTGTTCTACCCTGGGCTGGGTTTTCCACAGTATCACAGCTGGACTGGGAAAGGTGAGGGTGCTTCCTCAAAGGACGCCTTACCTTCTGTATGAGTGTTGCAAACTGCAGGTTCCTGGAGAAAGTGACATTGAGCACAGTACCATAAGCGTTCTCTCGCTTGTTTTCCAGCCAGGCATCCACAGAGATTCTCCTCCTTATGTTTTCAACAGTGAAGGGGAATTGGCTGAAAGACAGGAGGGAGTTGTTTGGGTGCCAGATCACATCAGCTGTGTTTTATTAGACTTTTGTAACAAGTCTCAAGAGAATTGGTTCACACTGCTACCATGAATTTCACAATCCTGTGACCAATGTGTGGCCAGTGCTGACAACATTCACATTTCGAGGTGATCATCAGAACCCTTCTTTCTCTGTGGAGTTTCTGATTAAATGTCACCTGAGCCCTCAGCCCAGTTTCACTATTTTCCCTCAGAATTTAAAGGGAGTGACCGGGTCTGGGAAATTCTCATTGAGAATGAGAATTGACTGAATGCATCACTTGCGTTCCAACCATTTGAGAGGACACACACACACACACACACACACACGTACAGGACAAAGCAAGAGGAAGAGGACAGAGAGAGATTATAGAGATAGAGAGAGAGGGCAGAGGGAGAGAGACGATAGAGAGAGGGAGGATATATATATAGAGAGAGAGAGAGAGAGAGGGCAGAGAGACAGGATAGAGAGAGAGGGAACAGAAAGAGAGGATAGAGAGACAGCAGAGAGAGAGTACAGAGAGAGAACAGAGAAAGGAAGAGAGAGAAGGAGGACAGAGAGGGAACGAGAGAGATGGAAGGAGAGTGAGCTAGGAACAGGTCAGCCTCTGAGCTGACTGTGGTACTGTGATGTCAACACTAAGGCAGTTACAATCAGTTGCCTTTTTCTCCTCAGGAGGATCAGGTGGATCAGAATATCAGCCAGGTTCCCCATCCCGACCAGTGACCCCTGCAGTATAAAACAAGTTGGCACCAACTGAACACAGGATCAGGCTTCCAAAAGGGAATAGCTAATTCATCCTCATTATCTCAGTCACTGGGCAGTATGGCGGTGGGGGAGGGGGGTTGCTGCAGGATGGAGCAGATCATAGAACCATAGAATCCCTGCAGTGTGGAAGCAGGCCATTCAGCCCATCAAGTCCACACTGACCCTCTGAGGAGCACCCCACCATACTCACCCCACCATACTCACCCCCTACCTTATCCCTGTAACCCTGCATTTCCCATGGCTAATCCCCCTAATCTGCACATCCCTGAGCACTATGGGCAATTTCCCATGGCCAATCCACCCTAATCTGCACATCTTTGGACTGTGGAAGAAAACCGGAGCACCCAGAGGGAACCCACGCAGACACAGGGAGAATGTGCAAACTCCACACAGACGTCAACACTCGAGCATGGGAGAAAAAGGGAAGGGCGAAAATTGTGTGTGAAAGGGTTCCAATGGAAACACATGATTGAGCTGTTACTGGTCACTCACCTGGAACCATAAATATCAGCACGAGCTCGGAGCCCCAGATCAGGATCACAATGTTCATCTTCACCACAATCACTCCAGAAACCAAGCTGCATTGGAATGGAAAAATGTCAATAAACCAGACCATTCTCCCTGTAACCATGATGTGCTTCATTATCAGAGTGAGTAGCCCACTCTGAACAGAACTATTGCATTCATCTCTCTCCCTGAACTGTAATCAAACTCCAAAGGGTTAGGAGACACAGAGCATTGATTCATCATGGAATTGTTAAGTTCTGTTTTAATTGCTATCACTCTACCATAAACACAGTATCTCAATGGTTCCCTATCTGGGCAAGTGGGACTTGAACCTGGGCCTCCTTGCTCACAGGTAGGGACACTACTACTATGCCACAGGATCCCCTTCACTGCTCCTGGGATGGTACAACTGCAAAATGGTTGCCATGTGTGCACGGTTAATAAGTGACTTAGAACCACGGAGAAACAGTGCAGTGCAGTGAGGGTATTCTCCACAGCGTTCCGAGACTTTTCAAAGAGGTGTTAAGTCTTATTCAAATCCAGGAATTACGTAGTAACTAAGATCACCTTAACTCAGCGTAAACTGAGATCAGGTTGGGGATTTTTCTAGTCTGCATGGCTTGACTCCACAGCACAGGGTGCTTACAAATAAAGATCCATCAGGATAGTGATTAAAGATCACACTAACTCCCGTCAGACACGAGTCAGAACGTGAGTGTATAACTGCAGTCTGGAGCCGGGTTTAGGGATTTTGGTGGGGGTGGGAGAAGGCTGGAGGAGTTGTGGTGAGGGGGTGTGGGGTGGGGGATAGTGTAGTGTAGGGGGTGAGATGTAAAGTTGGACTTTTGCCTTTCCCAATGATATCAGCCTCATTCAGCTGAAACCCAATGGATTCTGGCACTCAACCTTCCCATTCAGTAGCTGGTCAAGTATCTGAGGTGTTCTGGAGTGCAGCCCAGCCACAGTGTGAGTAAGGGTGGGGAGAGGGATGGTGCGGGGCCAGGGGTGAATCGCCTGCTCAAAGGCTGACGTGCTGCCTTCAATAATAATTTCCCACTGTTGAAGTCATTCTGCAAACATGACCTTTCCCTGAGATTCAGAGATAATTCATCTCTTCTTCTGCGACGGAGTGACAAGTTGCTGTTTGCTGTTGAGATAAATGTTTATGGGTTAAACCATCGCTGGACTATCCCCACCAGATGGACGCGGGAGCTTTTTGCTGAGCTGCACTGTTGTTATTAGCAAGGCATGGTGCCTGACTTGTTGGATTTTATAACTTGTAAACAAAGAGGAGTGCAGTTCTCTTCTGCTGGCATTACAGACTAAACGTCCAGATTCTCCCAACATGTTTTTACGAAATAGACTATATCCGACTCATCTGTTTTCGTGATGTTAAGGGATAAATATTTGCAGGATAGTCCCGGCACTGATATAACTCCCCTGCTCTACTTTGGGATTGTCCCAAGGTTTCTTTTACATCCAATCGACATGGCAACGTAGGAACATGAGTAGGCCATTCAATACGAACATGACTGATCAAACACTTCAGTGCCTTTTACCCACCCATTACCGTAACCCTGGACCCCCACCCCCCAACTAGTCATCAGATACCTGTCAATCTTTACCTTAAACATACTCGCAAAGACTGAACCTCCACAGCCTTCTGTAGGAGAGAATTCCAAAGATTCCCAACCCTCTGAGTAAACAAATTCTCGTCATTTCAGACTGAAGTTTGCATCCCCCTTATTTTTAAATTATGTCCCCTGGCCTGAGACAACCCGACTAGGGGAGATATCTGACCTGCAACGACCCTGTGTAATCCCTGTAAATATATTGTAAGTTTCTATGAGATCATCTCTCATTCTTTGAAACTCAAGAGAATACAGACCCAGACTGACCAATCTCTCTTCATAGAACAGTCTCACCATCCCAGAAACAAGTCTTAAATAAAATTCATCGCACTCCCTCTACAGCAATAATACCCTTCCTGAGATAAGGAAACCAATACGTTGCTCAGTACTCCAGGTGTAGTCTAACCAAGCCCCGATACAACTGAAACACTATACCTGTACTCTTGCCATAAAAGTAACATTCCATTAACATGCCCTATAGCTTGCTGCACTTTCATGTTAGCCTTCAGTGACTTATCAACAAAGACGCCTCTCTTTGTACATAAACACATTCCAACCTCTTCCCATTTAAGAAAAAGTCTGCATGGTTGTTTCTCCTGCAGTCAGATAGGAGTAGGATTTAACATCTCAGCACCTTCGACAGTGCAAGGCTCCCTCAGTCCTCCACTGGAGTATTGACAATGAGTCTTAATGTGCTGAAGCCCTCAGGGCTTGAATCCAGGACCAGATGATTCAAAGGGGAGAGTGCTACTGCCTGCACCGTGGCTGACACATGCTATAACTCACATTAGCTGGCTTAGCTAAGGTCACTGAGCTGCCAGCAACACACAATTCTTATTGAACTTAGCGAATATGAATAAGCACTGAGTTTTAAAGTTTTATACGCATGCATTCATTATCAACTAACACGTACTCACAGTTAAAAACAAATACTTTCAAGAAGTCACGTGATCAGCAAACCTGATCTTTTTGGACCATCCCTACACAGTTGCACAATTTTCTCAGCTGCTTCAGAGCACAGTTAAGAGATAATTAGGTCAACAAACAGGAGGCCAGGCAGCATCTCGAGGAAAAGAGCAGTCAATGTTTCGGGTATTACCCTTCTTCAGGACTGGATGTGGGGGTAAGGGGGAGCTGCACAAAAAGAGAGGGGGTAGCGGAATGGTGGTGATAGGCGGACACTGGCAGTAGGTACGACCTGGTTGGTCAATGGGAGGGATAAACCCAATTGGTGGCTGGAAGGGAGGGTCAGAAGGTAGAATGGAAGGAAGGAGGCAAGACTGGAAAGGGAGCCGGGGGATGGGTGGGAAGGTTATTTGAAATTAGAGAACTCAATGTTGAGTCCTTCGGGCTGTAGGGAGCCCAGGTGGAAGATAAGGTGTTGTTCCTCAAATTTGCATTGCGAGTCGCTGCGACACTGGAGAAGGCTGAGGAAGGACATTTCAGAAGGGACAGGGAGTTGAAATGGGCAGTGACCGGGAGGTTAGGTTGGCCACTATAGGCCAGGTGAAGATGCTTGGAGAGACGGTCACCTTGTCTACATTTGGTCTCACTGACATAGAGAAGACCACATCGGAAGCACTGGATGCAGTAGATTAGGTTGGAGGAGATGCAGGTGAAACTCTGGCTCACCTAAAGGACTGTTTAGGGCCCTGAATGGAGGTGAGGGAGGTGGTGTGTGGGCAGGTGTTACCTCTTTTACAGTTACAGGGGAAGGTACCGGGCAGGGTGAAGTGGTTGGTAGGGAGTGTGGCGCGGACTAAGGATAATTAAATTGGCGCACAACTGAAGTCACAAATAAACCAGACTGTGATGGATGGCATATTTCTGACCCTAAGGGTTTTGCAACTATCTAACAGTCTATTTATTATTGCTTAAAAGCTTTAAATTGCCAGCCTTTTAAAAGAGATGAAATCCAACTTGCCTTTGGAATTCACAATGTCAGGATTGCTTAATCCAGGCCTGTGGAGTACTAGCCATTTACATAACCACGACACCACCACACCCTGTTTTAGAGTCAGGCTTCTATGTGCAGCAACATCCTAAATAGGTTTGTGACAATGTCCTTGATTTAGTGCTTTGAGCGAAATAATTACATGTTCTTCCCCAAATCTGCGCACTGGCGTACCACACCACAGAGCAGTGTGATCTGTGCCCACGCCAGTTTATGAGAAACAGAGTGTGTTCATGCTGTTGACAAGAGCATAGCTACAAAATCAGAAGCATACCTCAGAAGGGAAAGGAAAGCAGTTGTTAGAAGTGGCCGTTATTTCACCTACCGTGGTCCTGGTTGTGGTCGGCCACCCATCATCCAGGACTGGGCCGTATTCTGGGTCCAAGAGGCCAAAGTCCAATATAAATCCAATGGGTCTCACGTAATCCAGCGTATCCTGGAAAAAAGGGACCAGTTCACAAGGAGATCTGGAGAAACAAACTACAGGAGGTTTTTTTTCCCCCCCTTTATTCATTCATGGTATGAGGCAGCATTTATTGCCCAGAGAGCAGTTAAGTGTCAGCTACATTGCTGTGGGACTGGAGTCACATGTAGACCAGACCAGGTTAAGGATGGTGTTTCCTTCCCTAAAGAACATTAGGGAGCTAGATGGGTTTTTCCCCCAACAATTGACAATAGATCCATGGTCATCATTAGATTCTTAATCCCAGGTATTTATTGAATTCAAATTCCACCATCTGCTGTGGTGGGATTCAAACCTGGGTCCCCAGAACATTATCTGCAGTGACAATACCACTAGACCATTGCCTCCCCTTGTGGTCAATGATAACAAGTGTTGGAGATAAAATGAAAACGAAAGAACTTGGAGTTATATTTAATCAACCTGTTGACACATGTTCCAACACAACTATGCAGCAAGTGGGATTTATACCTAACTGTCTAACCCAGAGATAGGAATACTATCACTGCACCACGAGACACCAACTTGGAGTTATTAGTATTTTGAATTAGCCTGTTCAGATTGTTACAACATGTCTGTAACTCGCGTTTGGATCTTCTGGCCCACAGACAGGGACGCTACCACTGCACCACAAAACCCTAATTTGGAATTATTTGGGCATTCACAAACCCTTCATTACCGAAGAATGTCTATTGATGAGAAGTCATTGACAGTATGTTCGCAAAATGGCAAAGTCCCTCAACTCACAAAGTGGAGAAATGAGCAGCTGGTTTGGTTTTGCTTGTATTGGTCAAGGGAAGAATGTTCGCAGGAATTTGAGCCAACTGCTCCTCCTCAAATCATGCCAAGGATGAAGGTTCATGCTCACCCCGTTAGTGACACGGCAGGGGAATTTATTGCCCTCTTCCGAGGAGTTTGGAGATGAAGGGGCATTTAATCAGATGGGAGGGTGTTGGGGCGGGGACCCTACCACTTTCCAATCCTGGTGAAGTCTGTTGGGGGGCAGGCCCTCAATGACCTTCCCAATCTGCTAAATAAGACCCTTATCTGGCCAATTAATGGCAACGCCCAGGCTTCAATCCCCGACTACTGTTATTAGCCCAGCTGCAGACAGTGGAAAAGGGGGCTCACCCTGTGGGGATTGTGACAAAATTGCTTGGGGGTGTGAGGGTATGTCCCTTGTACAGAAGCTTTCAGGGCCTGATAGAAGGGCTGAGAATGGGTGGAGGGAGAGCAGAAAGCCTGCAAAGGACCATTCCCCTGCCCTTGCTATAGGTCCCATATCCCCCCCTAAGTCTGCAACCCTTAACCCACCAATACTCTCCGACTATTACTCACTTGTGCCTGCATCACTCCCTAAACCGAGGCCTCAGTGAGTGCATTAGCAGGAAGACCCACTTCCTCCTCAGTAGCACTGTTGAGTAGAGAAAAACCAACAGGCTCCGATTCTCAAAAGAGGGGACCTGGGGGTTGTGAGGATCCCATCACCTCAATCTAATAACACCCATTGTGCCAGCCTAAGGGGCAGCAAGTTGGAGCTGAGGTTTGGCCGAGGAAGTTGCAGTGTATCCAATAACATGACAATTCAATGAGCACATTCAGTGCACATGTCCAGGCAAAGTCTCTGTATTTCCTGATGCCCTGAGCAAAGGGAACTCCTTCTTCCTTTTGTTCTGATTGGGCCAAAGTTGGTGCTGGGGAATTCCTGTCTTACCCGTCTTCTACTTTGGAGAAACCCAGATAACCAGGCAAGGACAACCCAGGAGGAAATCTTGCGAATGAGACAGACTGGTCTGATGCAACTGGTAGATATATTTAATCAGGCACATTTCTGGAGCAGGTAGAAATTGAATCCAGGCCTTCTAGCCCAGAGGTAGGGGGACTACCACCCCATTATAAAACCCTCCCTGATTCACCCAGTATGGAGTCTCAGTACAAGCAGGATGTTCAATTATAGCAAACATTTTATTATCCACCACCTATGGGACCAGGAATGTGCCGGTTTATCAAATATTCTGGATAATCAAGAGGTCCACATGATCAATGTAGAACCTCAAGCTCAGTAATAGAAATGTAATGCAGGGGTCTGCACATCACTGTTATACTTTATTTACAGCATAAATCACTTAAATAATAGTGTAGCTTTGCCTTAAATAAATCTTATGGCAGACAGCCTTCTCACTCACCCTCAACTGACTACTCAGACATCATGGTATTTGTGGAGAAATTGACTTGAAATTGAATCAACTGCCAATATTTTATGTGGCCATTCATTTGAACAACATATTTACATTGAGGTGAATAAATCGAAAAACTATAACATTTGGACAGAATAATATCGTAAACATTGTGATATTTGAGGTGTATAATTTTTGCCAGTTTATCGAGAGTGCTGCTTCATAAGGCATCGGTTAAAACAATGTTTGTGGTATTACTGTTTTGTTAATCTGTAAGAATGGTTTAACACACCAAAGATCCTTAGACAGCACCTTCCAAAACTCACTCAGAGATAGTAGGAACTGCCGATGCTGGAGTCTGAGCTAACAAGATGTGGAGCACGTAGAAGGGTCCAGACCCGAAACGTCAACTCTCCTACTCCTCTCTTGCTGCCTGGCCTGCTGTGTTCCTCCAGCTCCAAACCGTGTTACCTTCCAAACCTGCACTCTCAATCATCTAGAAGGTTTATGGAAGCAGTTACATGGAAACATCACCATCTGCAAAGCCCTCTCCGACCCATATATTATCCTGACTTGGAAATATATCCCCATTCCTTCGCTGGGTTAAAAACCTGGAACCCTCCCTCCTCTCAGCACAGTGGACTGCAGTGGTTCAAGAAGGCAGCTCACCACCACCTTCTAAAGGAAATTGGGGATGAAGAATAAATGCTGGTCCAGCCAGTATCAGGCACATCTGTGGATGAATTATAGAATCCTGCTGGTATTAACAAAAGGAAATCAGACAACAAAGCTGATTTCTCCCTACAGATGCTGCCAGACCTGCTGAGTTTTGCCAGCACATTCTGTTTTTATTTCACATCTCCAGCATCCGCAATTCTTTGTTTAATATAATTGGTGGTAGATTCTGAAGAAGGGAAGGCCTTGAGAGGGAATGAATTAAAGGAGGATAGGTGTGACAAGTCTCCTATTTTAAAAAATGAGCCTATAAGAAGGAAGAGGGTCGTGTCAGACAGTCTAGGTGGGACAGGCCAGTGGTTGGTACTTACCAGAACGTGAAAATAGAATTGATCACAAGTCTCTAATTCAGGTTCCATGGTGATGTTGCTGTGAATGTATTTCTCAAAGTTGTCATCAAACAGCGCCCTGGGTGTATATCTGCGTTCATCAATGGAGACGTTGTACCTTATGACTGAATAAAAATCAGAATAATTTCTCCAATTTCAAACTCAACTCATTTTCCACTGAGTGACCAGGTATGAGTTTGTTCAGAATCCTGAGCAAGACGCTGGGATTAAGAGGGAGTTGATGGCACGTATTCACAGAAGCAGAAGGGCCCATCTATTTTGCGAAATCACAGGCAACAATTACCCTTAAAAGATAAGCAGGGGCTACAGAAGCTCTTCAGTAGAGTGTATAGGCTGGGTGTTCCAGTGGGTCAACCACCAATGTGGTTAACTCTTAACTGCCCTCTGGGCAATTAGGAATGGGCAATAAATGCTGCCTGGCCAGCGACACCCTCATCCCATAAATCAATAAAAAAATCAAAAAGGAATTTTTTTTTCATTCACGCAAGGTGGGTGCCATTGGTTAGACTAGCATTTATTGCCCATCCCTAACTGCCCAGAGGACAGTTAAGAATTAACCACATTGCATGACAAGAATCACATGCAGATTTCCTTCCCAAAAGGGTATGAGAGAACTAGGGATTTTACAAGAATATCATTAGGCTAATTCTTTTATTGAATTCAAACACCACCAGCTACTTTGGTGAGATTTGAACCCACATACCCAGAACATTAATGGGGGTCTGGATTACTAGCTCAGGGACATTACCACTACACTATACCTCCCTGGCAATTAGAGGGAAGGGAAACTGAGGGAGATAAGGGGGGCCACTCCCATTGGGAAAAGATTAAGATGAGGATAAATCTTAATATGAATATAGCGCAGAAAGAGAGGAACAGTTAATATGGCATGGGGAGTACTACAGCAGATCCAGAAATGTGAAATTCAGAAATTTCAGTCATTAATAACAGAAATTCTGTTCTGAGGAAGGGTCACTTGACCTGAAACGTTAACTCTGATTTGTCTCCACAGATGCTGCCAGACCTGCTGAGCTTTCCCAACAATTTCTGTTTTTGTTTCTGATTTGCATCATCCACAGTTCTTTCGGGTTTTCTTTCAGACATTAACATCTGAAAGAATGAGCGTGACAATCTCACTCATTTGACCTAATTTCTCATTTAGGAGCGTTTAAAAATGGAACGTGATTGAGGTCATAACATGAAGCATAAAGTCTGCTCAAGTTGAAAATTTCTTTCAATTAAACAGGTTACACAGCACAAGTCACCATTACTTTAAGGCTTGATCCAGATTAAATGGCAAGAGATGGTTCTTTTCCCAGAGAACAGCAGTTCTATGCAATAGGTTCCCAGCTTCCTAAGTCAATATTGATTCACTGAATTCCTCGGAGCGGGAGTTAGGTCTGTCTGGGCTGGCCAGAGATTTCCTCATAGAGAACTCTGCAGGGACCTGTATATCCCCATAACTGGCCTGAAGCTTTTAACCTCATATTTCATCTCTCCTTTCCGCCTCACGTGGAGGCAGAAGCATCGATATTGTGACACATGGGATATCATGAATTGCGTAGGACAGACTGGATGGATGAGTGAATCTATTCCTGTCCATCAGAAAGAGAGTGAGCAGGTTTCGAGATGACCTCTCAGTGGTAGTGTTGTACTTACTCAAGCTGTCATTCTGAAGGCCAGGCGACTTGGCTGTGACTGTAAAACAGACCAATACAGACATGCAACTGCACTCTTTGCCGTTCCTCTTGCAGTCCTTGTTGAAAATGTTGATTTTCCGTGGTTCGAACCTCATGCTGGCATTCACCTGGATTATACTGCGGGACCTGAATGGGAAGGTATAACACTGAATGGGTTGCATAGTATCTCTTAACCAACATAGTCCTTGCCTTGGAAATTAAAGTCTAACAGGAGCCAGGTTGGAAGTAAGATTGCTGCATTGTGCCGTTAGAGGAGGCAGGGTAGGTGTGGAGAGGTTATTTCCCCTTGTGGGAGAGTCTATTACCAGAGGGCATCATCTCAGAGTTAGGGGTTGCTTATTGATGGAAGAGATGAGAAGGAGTTTCTTCCCTGAGAAGTTGGTGAATCTGTGAAATTCTTTACTGGAGAGGGCTGTCAAGGCTGAGTCATTAAGTCTATTCAAGGCTGAGAGAAACAAATCTTTCAACCACATAAAGATGTAGTTGATGGCTATCAGATCAGCCATAATCTCATTGAATGGTGGAACAGACCTGATGGGCTGAATCACCAACTTCTGCTCCTATGTCTTATTCCTGTGGATATTATTGGGTGGCCAATTGCACAGCACTTTCAGAGAAGTATACAGGCAGAGCAGCAGATAGTCAGGCTATATTACATTGGGGCACTGCACTGCACCATTGGAGAGACAGCACATTGTGCCAATGGGTGGGTGACGATTTGCAACATTTTGCCGACGTCAATCATTTTGCCTTGGGGGAGGGTGAATATAGAGTCCCTCCCCCAGCAGAGGTGGAGAAGCAGTGAACAACTTGGATGGAATTACGCTGCAGAACAGGAACCAGGCATTAAGGTCGGCCCAGTCTGGATGGGATAGTGACTGTGCCAGGCAGTTTATTAACTGCTGAGCCACTGGAGATCAGTGAAGGTAATCCGTTTGAATGCATTGAGCTGGTGACAAAAAAGACCATGGGCAAGGAGCTGTGAATGAACAAGTGATTGGGGAAATGTTTAAGCAAATATAGATTCACAAACCATAACTGAACAGCACTACCGAGTGCTCCTACTGCCAGATCCACCAATCCATCATTGTTCATATCCAACTGTCCATGGATACTGCGGCCGAAATACCGCAGTCCGTGGCTGACTTCGGAGGCCCCAATCCTCTGTAAGGCAACAAATACAGAAAGAGCTGGGTGCATTATATTGGACAGTCTGAAGTAAGAGGTCGCATGCTGGATTTGTTATTTTAGGTGAAGGAAGCGGTTGATGGGATGAGGGAAATGTTGCATCACACCACCTTGGAAAGAGAGATGGACAAGATGATGAATGCTAATGATTAGATGCCCCCATGTTAGATCAGCACACAATGATAACAAAGAAACACAACATTTATTGGGTGTAGTGCTTTGGACAGACAGTTGATTTTTTACCAGTGATTCCCAAGTTTTTATGACTGGGCATTTCCCACATCCCAAGTCTGGGTCTGCTGTGGGTGAATTGATAGGGAGAGCGATTGGCAATGATAGTCAACAACTCTACTGTCATTATACATACAACTAGAAGGAAGGTAATTGGTGAAACTGACAGACCTTGGTCTGACTTCAAACAGTTTTGTGTTCCTGTGCCTGGGGAAGGTTCTTAGGGTCAGGAATCCTCTGGGACCTGCATTATTCTAGGTTGGAGGAGAACTAATCCTGAGTGGCATGAATACTTATAATTCAGGAAATATGTAGGTTAGATGGGCAGATCGGTGGCAGATGGAATTTAACCCTAATAAATGTGAGGTGATGCACTTTGGAAGAGGGAACAAGGAAAGGGAGTTTTGAATAAATGGCACTAGGAATCTCAGAAAAACAATGGGATCTTGGGGTGTCCAGACTCGAAACGTCAGCTTTCCTGCTCCTCTGATGCTGCTTGCCCTGCAGTGCTCATCCAGCTCTACACCTTGTTATCTCGGGATCTTGGGGTGCTTGTCCACAGATCCCTGAAGGTGGCAGGATAGGCTAATAGGACAGTTAAGAAGGCATATGGCATGCTTGCCCTTTGTCAGTCATGGTGTAGATTATAAGAGCAGGGAGGCTATGTTGGAGCTGTACTGAGCTTTGGTTCGGCCACAGCTGGAGTACTGTGCAGTTCTAGTTGCCACACTATAGGAAGGATTTGATAGAACTGGAGAGGGTACAAAGGAGATTCACCAGGATGTTGCCTGGGATGGAGCATTTCAGCGATGAAGAGATGCTGCATAAGCTTAGGTTGTTTTCTTTGGAGCACAGAAGGTTGAGGAGGGAACCTGATAGAGGTGTGTAAGATTATGAGGGGCTTGGACATAGAAGCAACTTGGAATAGAAAACAACTGTTCCCCTTAGTTGAAGAGTCAATAACAAAGGGGTATAATTTTACAGTGAAAGGCAGGAGGTTTTATGGGGATTTGAGAAAAAGCTTTTTCACTCAAAGAGTGGTGGGTGTCTGGGATGCATTGTCTGCGAGGCTAGTTGAGGTGGGAACCTCACAACCTTTAAAAAGAACTTGGATGAGCACTTGAAGTGTCACTAAATTCAAGGTTTGGGCCTAGTTCAGGGATGTGGGACTAATGTATGTAGCAGTGTATTTTCGGCAGTAAAGACTTGATGGGCCGAAGGGATCTTCTGTACTGTATGATTCTATGTACACCACAGCCATTGGAGCTTGTGACACAGAACAGGATAGTATTGAGGGATGTTCACACCTTTACCATTCTCTGCCAATTGACTCTGAGGGACAGCTTGATGGATCAGAAACTGATGCCCATCAAAGAGGCACTACTTTTAACGTTATCCCTTTCTAAATGCATCGATAAGAAGGGCAGCGATGAAGAAGAGAAACTGAAGAAGGTGGAAATTGAAGGCAAGAAGTTGAATGGGGCTTGATTCATGGTAGGTTGCGTGAATAGTTTGGATTAAAGCTGTCAAAACTAGTTCCAGCTGTTATTGTTAAATGATGTAATGGACAACGCAGCAACTTAAAATCCTGACCACCTGGGGAGAATGTTAGTGCTGTAACCTCAAAGTAACTTGGCGGCAAAACCTCTGGAATTCGTGACTTACAAGTTAACAATGCCTGATTTGGAATAAACTGTAGGGTACTCACTGATATATGGGTGGTGCACAGGCAATCCTGCTATTCCCTTCAGTATTACACTCTCCACTATTAACTGTGTAGTTGATGCATTGAAATTGATCACTGTGCAGATGAGTTTCCAAACCACACGACTGAGAATCCTCCAGTTCTAGATCCTCAGTAGATAGACCTGTTTATGATACTATAGGGTCAGGAGTAGCCCGGTTAGCCTCTTGAGACTACTCACTCTTAAATGAGATCATGAATGATCTGCAACTGAACCGCCGCAGTACCCTTTATACCACTGGTTAACAAAAATTGATCTGCTAGTTGTGGACGAACTCCCAGCATCCTTTGTGTGCAGACATTTGTCTTCTAACTTCATGCCTGAAAGACCTGGCCCTGATTTATGCTTTACATTGCCCAACCAGTAGAAGTATTCTATCTATCCGGCCAATCAGCGCTCCTTACTCTCTTGGAAAGGTTAATCAAATTATCAAATTATCCCGTGAATTTCTAAATTCCATGGAATATAGTACTGCATGTTGGCAGAGCAAAGATCTGGGAGCTCCTTACTGCAGCCAGCAGTGGGTACTGTTGTAATCTAATCAGCTGAAATTACATAGCTCATCAAAATGGAGCATTCAGTTTTCAAGGCAGGGCATTGAGATTCAGGGTTATCTAGAAGTGAGTGGGAATAAACTTAGCTCCATGTGTCAGATCTTCCTTTATATCTGTGACTCAGATAGACAGCACAATGGCTCAATGGTTAGCACTGCTGCCTCATAGCGCCAGGGATCCGGGTTTGATTCCACCCTCAGGTGACTGTCTGTGTGGAGTTTGCACATTCTCCCCTGTGCTCCGGTTTCCTCCCACTGTCCAACGATGTGCAGGTTAGGGTGATTGACAATGCTAAATTGCCCCACAGTGTTCAGGGATGTGCAGGCTGGGTGGGTTAGCCATGGGAAATGCAGGGTTACAGGGATAGAGTAGGGTGGATAGTCTGTGTGGAATGCTCTTTGGAGGGTTGGTGTGGACTTGATGGGCTGAATGGCCTGCTTCGTCACTGTAGGGATTCTACCGTCATCCTCCAATGGTGTGTCAAGCAGTCTGATCACTGGAGTACCACATATCTGCTTGGTTCAATTCAAAAGATAGGCCTGCATTTGTATGGAGCTGTTTATGATCTCAGGTCTTTCTAAAAGCAATTTATAACCATTGAACAACTCTCAAAGCCAGAGAGGCATTATGACAACAAAAGAGACCATCATGCAGTTCCTGTTACAATATAGGATTCAGACATCTCATGGCTTGGTTTGAAATTCCCATCAGTTAGGGAAGTGAGGAGAGTGAGGCTTGTGGGAAAGGAGGGGAAAGCAGACCGTGATACCATTGCTGGTTACATGCCAATGGGATGGCTGGCATCAGTTACCGCAATGGATTAGTACCATCACTGGGATGGCAGCTACAAACATAACAATTAATGCACAATACCTTGGTTTTCTGTGCAAATTTTGGTTATTGCCCTTTTACAAAACCATGATGCCCACTCTCTAAAAGGTTGGTAAATCACCTTTGATGATTTAGTTTCCTCTGCTAGAGCTCAAGTAGTGATCATTAGCGAGAACAAGCTGATTAGGAAGATCCCACCAATAAACACTTGCTCTGCATTCAATTTTAAGTAAAGCTGCAGTTGGATAGGCTGAATAGACTTCAGTATCAGTGGGTTAGGAACAGTAAAACCAACCAGGGATCTTGCCCCTAATCAGTGTGGTGAGAGTGAAAGTTTAAAATTGAGATATTAGTGGACTGGGAGCCATGGATTTGTAAGTAATGAGGTGATGGGTGACTGCAGAAAGTGATATGTGATACACTATTCCCTGACAAGGTCTTTAACCTTTTACATTCATCGTATCTGCCTGGGTACAAATAACTTACGGGTTATAACTCCCAGATGCAGTGTTGCATGCTGGCTTCTGAACAATCCATTGCCAAATCGCCTAGTGAAATATTGGAAGGGGAAGATGGAAGAAGCAATGAGAAAAAGATGTACAAACTAAACTGAAGTGATGGAGTTCTTTTTGGCTTACATTATTCTGTCTATTTAAGTTACTAAGAACATTTGTTTTCACTCAAGTCAGCACATAACTTCATAATTACCGGCAATAGTGATTAAATTCTGACAAACTCAGCAATGTAACTCACTCATGGTTCAATTACACCTGTCACTGTCCCTTTCTACTCAACGAGAAACAGTGACATTGGTGCATAAAAACCTTCGATACTGTGAAAGTATGTTAAAGAACATTTTATTGGTTACTGACCCTACTGATGAATTTTGGAAAAGAACCTTACATTTATTTCATGCTTAACCTTAGACACCAAGCAATAAAGGATATTTGAAGTGTGGTCACTGCTGTAATGCAGCACCCAGTTTGTACACAGAAAGATCCCAGAAACAGCTACAGGATAATATGTGGATCATCTGTTCTTCTTTCTGGGTGTTGGTTGGATGTTAAGTATTGGCACCAAGGGAGACCTGACCTGCTGTGGAATCTTTTCTTTCTTACTGAGAATGCAAATGGGACCTTGCCCATTAATCCCTATAGCCAAATATCAGCTGACTAATGTACCAGGAAGGATTTGATTTGATTTATTATTGTCACATGTGCCAAGACACAGGGAAAAGTATTGTTTTGTGTGCTATCCAAGCAAATCATACCTCACGTAAGTCCGTCAGGATAATTGAATAGTCTGCAGAATATAGTGTTACAGCTACAGAGAAAGTGCAGAGAAAGGTCAAATTTAATATATGAGAGGTCCATTCACAAGTCTGATAACAGCAGGGAAGAAGCATGGAAGAGGGTGGAAGACAGTACAACCGGGGCGGGAGGGGTCTTTGATTATGTTGGCTGCTTTCCCAAAGCAGTGGGGAGTATATGGAAGGAAGGCTAGTTTTCAGGATGGACTGGGCTGCGTTCACAACTCTCTGCATGGACCAAGCCAGACTATTCCGTTGATTGGACCGAATGGGGAGATTTCTCCATTGAGTGAGGGCCCTACTTCATTGGTGAAGGCCCAGCCCCCTGGTTTTTGGAGACCTGAGGCAGGAATCCAGTGTTTATGTTTTGCTGATGGTTTCCCAGCAACTTCAGTTTCTTTGAGTCAATGAGACTCAATGCAGTGACACGACTGCCTTGGAGTTCAGTCACACTCAATGCCTGCAAAACTCTGACTTTCACAAACCTTAGTCCTGAGAGTGCAAGGACAGGTACTGGGCAAAGTATTTACCAGGAGTGAGAACCGGAGAAATAGAAGTAGAGAGAGTAGCCTCAACATCTGCATGAGTAAAAGCACAGACAGAATTAATTATTAGTTCCCAGTAAATTTGTGAGATTACTCTGAAAATTCTTCGGTCTTAACCAGCTCCAGCAAATCACATTACAGAAAACTGTGGCTTGATGCTGGGGAGGCAATCATTACCCTAAAATCTGGTGTATACACTGCATCCAAGTGTGAGCAATTCCTTATAATATCCTCTCTGGAATTCCCTGTCCAAACCTGGCTCTCTCTCCTGCCTGCTCTCTTTTTAAATTGATGCTTAAAATCCACTCCTTGGATCATGTGTTTTCTTTATGTTAGTGTCTTCTTTAGCCTCAGGATTGAATACCTTATTTGATTGTGTTTAGGTTGAACTCTCTGTGTACATTAGGTTGTTGGCAGTTGCTGAGTTATTTAAGACCACACATTGTCAGCATCTGAAGGGGAAAAGAAGGGACATGGGAGTGGGGTATAAATTTGCTTTGGGAGGAAGCAAAATGTACAACAGCAAATTGGCATCCAACTAAAATGCCTGGAAATGCTCACTGAGCAGGTGGGTTTGGTTGCAAACATTTCATTACCCTGCTAGGTAACATCATCAGTGCATCTCTGGTGAATTGTCGGTGTTCTGTCCCACTTGTTATTTAATGCCTTTAGTTTAATCAAGCCCACCGGCTCAATGAGAAAGTCTACAACCTCTTCCATAACCCAAGCTACAAATCTTCTCGAAAACTTTAAAAGGAGTATTAATATTGTCTTCCCGTAAATGTGAGGAATAGCTTTCCTCCTGTAACATTAATATCATATTACTAAAATAAGCACTCAAAGACACAATCGTTATTAAATAAAATCACACTACTTATCTTCACTCTGTCCTGCTTTCTCCCACTCGTCCTTACACATTCACTCTCTGTCCTTGCCTTTTCCAATTTTCTTTTCCCTCAATTCTGAGGTAGGGTCTCTGGACCCAAAACATTAACTCTGATTTGTCTTCACAGATGTTACCAGACCTGCTGAGCATTTCCAGCAATTTCTGTTTTTGTTTTAGATTTACAGTGTCCGCAGCTCTTTTGGCTTTTATTTTCTACATTTAACTTACCTGGAATAATCTTCGACATGCAACCTTTTTTCAACTTTCTGGCTCCCATGATTTTATAAGTAGGAATGTCTTTCAAAACTGCACCACTTAAACTTTGATTGGATAAAAATTAGTCTTTAAGACAGTCCCTTAAGCAGGTGATTATTAGGCCAGAGTGTAATGATTGACATAATTAGATTACAGATGTAACCTTGGTCATATAAAGGTGAGATTTTAATTCACTCAAAACCATTGCAATTGGACACAGTTAAAATGAGGCCTTTAAAAGTGTTGGAAAGGGCTGTACAAGACAAATGAGCTTGTTAGCAATATCAGAGCCAAGATTAGACTTGCCCGCAGCACTGTGATGGGCTTCCTGAAGAGACTGATCTCCTGTATAGCAGCAGAGGGAGAAATTTCCAGAATATTGGGTGGTTCTTTCACTTAAGGCATGGAAACAGTGTAAAAAAAAAACAGAAGTTGTATTTGCATTGTGGGGTTCTGAAGTTTTCAGCGGAATCTTGCACCAAAAGTGTAAGTTTGATGTGAAATGAAAAGCAGTGGTTTTTTTTTTGTTTGGCTGAGATTCATCCTGAGCAGTTCCGTATCACAGGAGTCTGAGCTTTACAAGCTGTTCCCCAGTTCACAAACTGAGATAAACAGCAACAATCCTGGGGGCCCATCAAGTTGGTGAAAATACTCTTTGCTAAATCTTCAAATCTTCCAGTGCAAAGAGTTATCCTCAACCAAGTATTGCAGACTGGCACATCCCAAGGTTCAGGAAAATGTGCTGAGAGACATACTCAAAATTGGTGCTACCACCACAAAGGCACAGTGGAACAAGACTACTGACTAAGGCCCTTCAGTCAGAGTGTTACCAAGGGACTGGTAACTTAGGACCCCATCAGGCTGTATCCTTGCAATGGAATGTGTATAGTTAATGTCATGATTGGTTAATTTTGCAATTGGACTCGGATTTAAGTGTACAAAGTGCTCAATGTAGAAAAGTGGTATTTTGGTCATTTTTAAGTCCAATTCAAAATGAATAAAGTATATTTTTGAAATGTATAACTAGGCCGTAGTTTTGATGTTAAATGAATATTGGAAATGTAACTGTTAAGTGTAATGAGTATTCTCAGAGATCCATATAGTGGACTGAATGAAACTGAACTGCTTTACACTTTTATGTTAAATGTGATATGTTTTGCAAGTGTGCCTTGACAATTTTATACATAAAATGCACTTTTGAAAAATGAGTTTGTGGTTCTTCTTTAATAAGAGAGTAATGAACCTCTGGAATGCAATGTTGGTTGGTGCTCTCTCTCTCTTCCTGTCTTCAGAAGAGGTTAGACACTTCGTGACTGGGCCTGTTATCCCACTGTATAGAGGAATTCTGGTCCTCCTTCAATACAAAGCTGTTATTAAACTTGAGAGGGTGCAGAGAAGATTTACAAAGATGTTGCTGCGGTTGGGGGGTTTGTACTGTAGGGAGAGGCTGAACAGGCTGGGGGAATGCTTTTCCCTGGAGCATTGGAGGCTGAGGGGTGACCTTATAGAGATTTATTAAATCATGAAGGGCATGGATAGGGCGAATAGCCGAGGTCTTTTCCCAGGGTAGGGGAGTCCAAAACTAGAGGGCATGGGCTTAAGGTGAGAAGGGCAAGACTTAAAAGGGACCTGAGGGGCAACGTTTCATGCAGAGAGTGGTGCATGTACAGAAAGAGCTGCGAGAGGAAGTGGTGGAGGGGGTTATGATTATATTTTAAAAGGCACCTGGATGGGCACATGAATAGGAAGGGTTTAGAGGGATATGGGCCAAATGCTGGCAAATGGGACTAGATAAATTTAGGATATCTGGTCAGCATGGACGTGTTGGACTGAAGGGTCTGTTTCCATGCTGTACAGCTCTATGACTTCATTAGTCTTTCTTGATAATCCTAGATCCAGTTAACCTCCTGATTTGATCTTGATGACCTAAGAGGGAGGAGGGATCAGGGGTTAGGGCAGGAGGGTTGGCTGGTAGATGACAATTGGCAGCTTGGGAAGATGGAGGCACAGACAGACGTTATACAGAACAATTTTTTCGCTAACCGATTCTGAATCTTCAGGCTTTATTGTGCCCTTACAAGGATAGGAGCGAGAGGAGGAAGAATGTGACCACTTTAGCATGGAGCAGAGTTGATGGACTAGCTAGTATTTCTCTGCTTGTCCTATTTGTAAACGGAACCTGGTTTCAACTGCAACACAGTCTCTGTCTTTCCTTTCCATCCAGGACGTGTCAAAGCGGGGGCAGATCTGTCCAAACCAGGTCCCTAACTGTTGGAACTGGAGGAGGTGGTGCCGTTTGTTGGATCTCTTACCTGTTTGTACTCCTTGAGGATATTTTTATTGTATCCATGAAACACATAAATTGCTCCACGATGATCATCCTCCAGGGGTGCCCCGACCACCACATCGTTGAATGAATCATGGTTGAGATCACGGACACCAGCGATTGCAGATCCAAAGCGGGAGTTCTGGGATTTGTCAGAGATTTCCAGAAAACCATTGAAAATGAAAATTCTCTGTAAAACAAACCAATACGTTCTGAGGGTTATGGTGGAATCCTGTACCAAAATTTGCATGTAGCATTTCAATTACAATTAAATCTTCAGGGTTTGAGTGAAGATTTGTAACTCGGGTGCTGGTTGTAGATGTTGGGTGTGTTTGCCGAGCTGAGAGGTTTGATAGCAGATGTTTCATCCCCTTACTAGGTGACATCCTCAGTGTTGTGGAGCATCCTGTGTTGTCTTGTGCTGGTTCGAATTTATATGGTCTGGTTTTTGCTGCTTCCGGTAGGTGCCAGTTCCGGTTGTGCGTTGTAATGGTCGGTATATTGGTTCTAATTCAATGTGTTTATTGATGGAGTCCGCGGAAAAATGCCAAGCCTCCAAGAATTCCCTGGCTGTCCTCTGTTTGGCTTGTCCTATGATAGTAGTGTTGTCCCATTTGGAAGTATGGTTTTTCTCGTCTGTGCGTACTGAAACCAAGGACATTTGGTCGTGTTGTTTAGTTGCTAGTTGTCTACCTGTTTGTCCCACGTGGTGTTTTGTGCAATGAACAGGTCTTAAACTATCACAGCAACCACCTCAACTCACACAAGAGGAGCTGCGTTAGGACCCTGTTCAAACAGGCCGCTACACACTGCAGCACACCCAATCTGCAGAAGGAAGAAGAGCACCTCTACAAGGTCTTTACCAGGAATGGATACCCTCACAGCTTCATCCACAGATGTCTAGCCGACAGACAATACAAGCAGGACACACCAAAACCCAAAACAATAACCACCATACCATAAATAAAAAACACCTCAGAACTGATAGCCAGACTACTCAGACCACGAGGAATCATTACAGCGCACAAACTGGCAACCACACTAAGACAGCAACTGACCAGGATTAAAGTCCCAATAGATACCATGGACAGGACAAGTGTGGTTTACAAGATACCATGCGGAGACTGCATAAAACATTACAACGGACAAACAGGCAGGCAACTAGCAACTAAACAACACGACCAAATGTCCTTGGTTTCAGTACACACAGACGAGAAAAACCACACTTTCAACTTGGACAACACTACTATCATAGGACAAGCCAAACAGAGGACAGCCAGGGAATTCTTGGAGGCTTGGCATTCATCTGTGGACTCCATCAACAAACACATTGAATTAGAACCGATACACCGGCCATTACAACGCACAACCGGAACTGGCACCTACAGGAAGCAGCAAAAATCAGCCCATATAAACTCGAACCAGCACAGGACAACACCCCTTTTACAGATATAGTAGGAACTGCAGATGCTGGAGATTCTGAGATAACAAGGTGTAGAGCTGGATGAACACAGCAGGCCAAGCAGGATCAGAGGAGCAGGAAAGCTGACGTTTCGGGCCTAGAGCCTTCTTCAGAAAACAGGAGGCTTCAAAGCACTGAGGATGTCACCTAGTAAGGGGACGAAATGTCTGCTATCAAACTTCCCAGCTCAACGAACACACCAAAATCTACAACGATTAAATCTACAAAGACACAAAGAAGTTGTCCCACTGTGAGTTGGAACATTGCATGTACTCAGGTGTAAAACTCTAAGGGATTTGCTCTTTCTTCAGAAATAGTATAGAGACTTGTTATGCTGCTAGGTATTTCTATAGCCCTGACCCTGTCAAGTGAATTCACCAACCCCTCACCTAATCCTCTTCCTTGACCCAAATCCTATGTACAAGCCTGGACACTCCAACATTGCTCCTCTCTCTCAGGCTCCCAGCCTCCCACTACTGTCTCTCCCTTGTTGCTCATTCTCTCTCTTCTGCTCCTCAGTAAGGGTCCCTGCCCCAGCCCCACCTCCTCTTCGTTTGATAGTGCCTTCTCCCACATTCCCAATCTCTAGATGACCCGTCTCCGCTGTCCCTCTCTCGGAAGAACTATTCCTCAGCAATCTGAAGGTGTGGAACACCTAGTGCTAACTAAAACTGATGGCTATAGTGTGGGATGGGCAGTTGGCAGGGCCGCTCAGTGGTGCCTGCTGTAAACCATTGGTTGGTAAATTGAAGCAAGATTGGACATGAGGCTATAATAGGCCCTAATGAAATTCTTCTTTGCATCTTCTGCTCACTGTAGGACTGGGTGGGTGTCTGGGTCAACGAATCTCCACTAAGAATTGAAGCTTTTCAAACGAGCTTTTCAAATCAGGGCAGGCTACATTTCTCAGGACATACTTTGATCTCCCCCCCAACCCCTTCATGACCTTTGGCAAAGACTTAACCACAGCACCTGGCATCTCTCATGAGTTTAAAGGCTCCATCTCCTCACAACAGAAGCAGTTTTTTGCATTTCTGTCATTTTTGATGTAAAGCAAAATTGTTTCTGAGATCTGGCACTTATGCCGAAGTCATCATTTGCATCTCATCCCTAATTGCCGTTGAGACGGTGTCGGTGAGCTGCCTTTGTGAACTGCTATGGTCTTTGGGGTGTAGGTACAGACACAATGCTGCTGGGGGAGGTGAGGAGTTCTTATAAAAGGAGGAAAAGCTGACACAGTTCCCAGTCAGGATGGTGCTTTGTTTGGATTATTTCAGGGATGTCCACCATGATTTTCGTCCCCTCCTCCCTGAAGACCCTGATTCTTTGCTGTTGGACTGTTTCCAATGCCCTATGCTTTGTTTGAATGGCTGCTTTATGTGTTATCTACAAAATCCAGCGGTCAGTTTTTCAAATGCATAATTCAACAAGGCTAATCTACTACCCCAACACAGTGATCCTTCTACTAGAGTCACTGAGTAACGGTCATAATGAGAAATTTGATTAATTTCCTATTCTCCTCTTTCCCCTGTCTTAACCTGCGCTGTCGTTGGGCCTAAATCCTGCAATTCCCTCCCTAAGGGCATTGTGCGTCTACCCACAGCACATGGAGCAGTTCAGGAGGGCAGCTCACCATCACCTTCTCAAGGTCAATGATGGACAGACAGAATGGATGTGGAAATGGAAGAAAAAGTACTCAGTCCATATTTAAATAGCTTAGGCACTGAGGCCAATTGTTGTCTGTCCCAGTTGCAGGTGTAACTGTGGAAATATGGTCACTCAGTCAAACCTATTTCCTTACAGTCTACAGTCCTATATACCAAGCTGCTTCTATAGCCTTGAGCAATTAGTGAGCTCAAAAAAAAGCAGACCAGGAATTTGCTAGAATCTGCCGCAGCTTGATTCTGTAACTTTGATGGAAGTACAATGGAAAGACTCAATTTTTATTCATCTATGAGATGTGGGTGTCCCAGTCTGGGTCAGTGTTTATCATCCAATTCTCGTTGCCCTGGAGAAGGTGATGCTGAGCTGCCTTCTTCAACCACTGCAATCCTTTGTGTAGGGTATGTAGGGACACACACAGTGCCACCTTTTATTAGACTCTGTAGCAGTTTGTAACTGCTGTGGGCCTGGAGTCACATGTAGGCTGGACCAGGTAAGGATGGCAGCTTCCCTTCCCTAAAGGGGATTACTATAATAGAATCCCTACAGTGTGGAAGCAGGTTACTGGGCCCATACTGGACCCTTCGAAAATCATCCCATCCATACGCACACACCCCCCCCCACCCCATCCCTGTAACACTGTATTCTCCATGTCTAACCCACCTAGCCTGTACATCCCCAGACACCTTCGGCAATTTAGTGTACCTAACCTGCGCATCATTGGACTTGGCAGGAAACGAAAGCCCCCAGAGGGGACCCATGCAGACACAGGGAAAACATGTAAACTCCTTAAGGACAGTTGCCCGAGGCTGGAATCAAAGCCAGGCCCCTGGTGCTGTGAGGCAGCAGTGCTAACCACTGCGCCATCATGCCACCCAACCAATGAACCAGATGGAGTATTACAACAATGAGCAGTGGCTCCATTTTCTTTAAATTGAATATGAATGTCACCACCCATCATGGTGGGATTCGAACCATATTCCCTCAGGACATTAACCTCAGGGTTACTGGCTCAGTGACATTACTGCTTTGCCTTCCCAGGTGATGGAGTGGGAGCAGATCTTAGGAAAAAACATGCAAAGAAAACATCTTAGCAGTTACCTTGTAGAGGGAATAGATGTAGATTTTACCCTTTTCTCTACCATCACTGAAAAACATAGGAGCACCGACCAATAAAACATCAGTCACCCCATCAGCATCAACATCCACTGGAGATAGTTCGCTTCCAAAGTATGACCCAATCTGAAATAAATGTGGCAGGAAAATGATTAATTGCTGATTGAAATGTTATGCCAATGTAAGCATCGTACTAGAACCTCTGTGATACTGAGCATAGAGGTGAGCAGGAGATTGTGTCAGGCAATAGTTTGACCAATGATACAGTCTTTAGTCCTGTCCCTGGTGACAATTACATGATGGATGACATACAAAGTCAGAAAGCAGGAAGGACTGAGAATGGAGAAAGTGCAGGAGCTTTTTTCAAAGACCGCAGAGAAACTCAAATTCGAGTGGATTAAATGTCTCAGGAGAGCTGCAACCACTCTCAGTCTTGGCCTTTGATAAAGACCAAAGTTGTTTCGTTCCCTGGCTGAACTGACTTCAGCCTGAGCTGCAGAGTGAAACTTCTGATCTGCTGAATGCAATAATAATTAAGAAACATCTGGAGAAAACCAAAATTAGAAAGGGATGAGAAATGAACAAATTAATCCTCCTGAAGAAAGATTATCAAATGAACCTTCTGCTTTTGCAAAAGAACCATTATTAAAATCAGGAATGATTGCCACATTTCCCAGACAGTCCATGATTAGCAATCACACATCCCATCTCATCCTGTGGGTGCCTGGCAATGTTTAGAAACCCAGGCAGATACAAGCTCATATTCAATTTTAAGCAGGCTGTTGCCAGCTCTTTCAAATTGAGGTGGGAGAAATACCGCAATAGTCTGCACAACTCATCGTCTGCGACAGAAAAGAGTTGGAAACTGAACTTTGATGAGCCCCATAACACTTGTCCTATAACAGTGAGTCGGCACACAACAGACACAGACATGTAATTGGGGATAGACTTGCATGCATGTGATTCACATTTGTCCCGCACATGTGGAAAGGCAGGCATGGGCTGGTTACAGACCATCAGTGAGAGTTCACTAACCTGTTGGCCCTTCAGGGATTGCTGAATGGTGACACTGCCGTCATTTTTCATTGTGAATACTATGACTTTTCCGGTGTGGTTGAATCTGGGAGCGCCTGATACGTACCAAATCCGACCTGATTTTGGCATCACTGAAGTAATGGTGTAGCCTGAAATGGAAAATGCAGAGTTGGAGTACTCAATGTTCTTGTGCTTATGACTTGGTTCGGCAGCATCTCCCATCTCCAGATCAGAAAGTTTGGGGTCCCGCTCAGGAGACCCAGCACATTTTGATTCTCCAGGGCAGTCATGAGGAGGTTCTGCACGGTCTGAGGTGCCACCTTTCAAGTGAGACTGAGTGCCCACCTGCTTACTCAAGTGGGCATCGTAGACCCAAAGCAGAGCAAGGACGAGTACTTCCTCAGACTTCATTCCCCACCCCTCCCGACCCCAGCCAACACCTAAAAAAAAGACAGCTTAGAAAGGTAAAGTCACTATTACTCTCTCAGATCATAGGGCTGCTTTCCCATTAGTGAAAGACACCCAGTGCTGGCTTAATCTGAGGGTCACCAAGCCTCAGCCGAGGGGAGTGATCGAGAAGGACAGCTCTTCATGGAAACCTCAGCTGGTGTGGGAATTGAACCCATGCTGTTACCATCACTCTGCATTGCAAACTAGCTGTCCACCAACCACCATGGCAGACAAGGGCATTATTTAATTGCTTTTTGTGGGATCTTGCTGTGCACAGACTGGCTGCAGCACTTCATTTGGTACAAAGCTCACATGTTTTAAATCATATCGATGGAAACAAAGCTTTTTAAACTCGTTCCAAATTGGCCAAATCACTGAGGCTTCCGAACATTATTTCTCTGTTAGATATTTGACAATGTCTGCTAATTAACAAGGAATGTTCTGACAGAGACAAAAGAAACCTCAAGTGAAGCAAACCACAAATACAGAGCTTAGGTGTCGGAGTTGGAACGTCTTGATGCCCACTCCTCAATGGTTAAGCAGCATTGCTCGGTTTCAGGACTGCAGTGAAGAGTAGAGATTTCTGCAGGGGAATCAGTACGCACAATCACACACTGAGGTGGGTCAATGCTGATACAGCCATGCTAATTCAATAAGGTTGTACCCAACACTTAACTCCAACTAAAGACCTTTCTCGGGAAGGATCTGCAGCATCAACTTCAGCTCTCTTAAGAGATGCAGCTTGAATCACAGAATGGTTAGATTTGGCCATTTGGCCATTCCTTCTGTGCTAGCTCTCTGTAAAGGCAGTTCACCTGGGCCCACTAACCTGTCTTGAATATCACAATTTTGATTTGGTTTCTGATTCATTAAAAGTGGGCTGGTTACAGTTCAAGATTCCGATCAAATGATTTATGTTCCAAACAAAGTGTACACAACTGGGATGAATGAACTCTTGAACTGTTACCCTATTCATGGAAAGATATTCGACTGAAGGAAATCCCTTTCACCCCTGCATTTGGAGAGCAATGAATTGAAATCAGTTACTTTACCTTCCTGTATTTGGAATTATGACAGATCAGACTGTTTCGCAACTCCCATCCATTGCAATTCCCTACATTGCAATGGTAGCTACTCTTCAAAAGCTCTTCATTTACTGTAAAGTGTTTTGCAATGTCAATGCAAATATTTCCCATTTTATGAACGTAGGATCCAAGTTCATATTTAACAACACCTGGTCCAACAACTTTACATCAATGCAATGCCGTGACTCTGGGCTGAGTTTTATGTTCTTTTGGCTATGTCTGAGCAGCATTGGGTTTTGTGGAGCAATTTTCACTGCAAGCCTGAGTGAGTCACCTCACCCTATCTTAGCAAACTCGCCTCAGTAATTACCTACCCTGGCCCTACGGTGCCTCTCACACCCAACCTACCCCAACTTGCCCCCCAGCAGATTTCCAGGAATTTACTGGCATCCCTTGTGCCCATGCCATTTGTTGTGCACCCAGAAAAGTACTGTATGTAGGTTTACTGACATTTGCCCCACTCATGGCACACTGGAAGGAGTTGTTGCCCTGCCTTTCAGGGAGGGACCCAGTGAACGGACTGGTGTAAAGGTGGAACTTCCTCTTCCTGGGGACCAGGAGTGGAGGACATGAAACCAGAACCTGCCCAACCTGGTCTGAGGTTAACCCCCGGGTCAGTGGGGTCTCAGCGTCTGGAGGAATGCCCAGTGCTGCTGGAAGAAGGTCAATGTCCTTTTCCACTCTGCCAGAGTAAATGTCATGATCTTCTCTATGCACACTCGCCCTCTCTCTGCTTCTGTACCCACCTCCCACCAAGTCTCATGCTCTCCCACTCTCACTATTGTCTGCAACATCATCTCTCCCTCACCCACTCCCAACCCCCGACACCACTAACCCTGCCTGCCCTCTGTGCTGCCCACTCACTCACTCGGGACACCTCCCTACCTGTGCAAACAGGAACAGCTGTGCCACCCACTTCATTAATACCCACCTCTCTCCCATTCAAGGAGGAAACCAGCCCCCAATGGGGCAGAAAGAGTCCAGGTGGTTGATGTGCCACCCATCATCAGCTTCTCACCCTTTATGACAGTAGGATCCCAACTCTGACAGTCCCGATCAGGTCCAGGATTAGTATTGGAGGCTTATAGTGCTGGGACGCACTGAAAGAAGGCTATTCCCCCTTCTCTAGACTGAGGTCTGCTGGCATGTTTCCTGGCTTTGTGTCTGCACTAAACAACAAAGCAAGGCAGAGTCATGTGAGCCTGATCTCTCTGGCTGAGGGGCAAAGCACAAACAAGCAAGGATGCTGTGAACATCGGGGTCAGCTCAGAGTGAGTGAGGGCTCTGATAGTGAGTAAAGGACATGGAGATACAGCCTGGTCCAGTCCCTGAGCTGGGGAGGTGTCCCTGAGCACACAGTGTCCTTCCTGCAGCATTACAGTGACAGTTACCTGGGCAGCATTGAATGGAAGTGGATTGGACATGTGTCATGAGGGCTTTTAGAGATTGGCACATATCAGATGCCACGGTCTGCGGATGTGAAGTGTGTGCATCCAGTGCCCGCGAAGTGTGCCCTGAGATGTTGATGCCCGGTTTTCACAATGAAGCTCTTTAATGACAAGTGCCAAGCTGAATCTGGCAGGTGCATATTCTGCCCGTGATCTGCCCCACATCTCACTATAGCCCACGTCACTCAAACCCCAAGATAATTCCATCCGCTGTCATTGAAGTGGCATCCTTACGGCTCAGAGTGAAAGCCAAGATGCAAAAGACCTGCCTAAGCACTGTCCTTACAATGCCCCTTCACACCAGTGCTCATTGCTCCTGCAGCAAGCAAAGGTCCTGTTGATTAATGACATACTCTGCTCTGGCACCACCTGGTATTTCTAGAACACTGGTTGCAGTTAAAAAGCCCATAATATTATTAGAAAGTCACAGTGGGTATCGCAGAACAAACTACATCTAAAGTGTGCTGCAAGGTACATAGACACATGACTGTACTTACCCAGATAGGCCCCATGGTTTTTCAGCTCTTTTGGGAATTCCTTCATGTAGGCATCTTTGGAAGGGATCACTCGGCCGTGACTGGTTTGTTTTAAGACAGCACCTGTCCAATCATAGGCCCCTACCGCTCCAAGAAGGATCCCATCCTGCCAAAGGAAGGTGGAACCCAATGAAGGCATAAATAACACAAGAACAACTTGCATTTATATAGCATCTTAAATGGACATCCCAAGGTGCTTCACAGGAGCATCAGCAAATAAAATTTGATCCAGAAGCCCAAAATCAGATATTAGTCTTTTAGATATTGGTCAAAGATGTGGGTTATAAGGATTGCCTCAAAGAAGGAGAAATGGGAGAAGAGTTTTAGTTATGAAATTCCAGAGCTTAGAGTCCAAGCTTCTGGAGCCACTGTTGCCAATGGTGAAGTGACCAAAATCAGGAATATGGAAGAAACTAGAACTGGAAGAGCACAGAGAACATGCGGAGTTGTGGGGGAGGGGAATGCTGTATAAGGGATTCGGGACCCCAGAGCAACCTGGTAATGATATCAGGAAGTTGCATTTCATTGAGCATAAATATCACAATGTGGGCAGAGTTAGAACACTTTGGGTGAACACTAGGATGAGAGAGGACTCAAGAGCACATGGACATGAACGTAAGAAGAAGACAGATCAGTCCTGAACTAATGTACCTATAAGATAGAGCCTGACATTTCCACAACTATCATATTTAGAGGCATTAAATACGAAAGTATAACAAATAGTTGGTTTGAGATCTAAGCCTGATGGCAGTTCTTTACTTTGCCTGGTCCTCAACCAGTATTCCACAGAATAAAAGAGACGAGGTTAGAGTAATAGGGAGTTACAAAGCCGTAGGAAGGTTTGAAAGCAGCAATGAGAATTTTAACGTTGAAGAATTGTCAGTGTAGCTCAGCAGCATTGTTGAAAATATTTGTGAACCAAACCATTTCCTCTTCCACCAGAGAATAGGCAACAGCTGCAGCAGAATGGCTAGGAGTGTGTCAATGAGCTTTTGTGCAGAGGGATCCATAATCCGACCAAAAACCCATAATTCAAAGTGTTGCTACATAACACAAGAAAAATTCCCTTTCTCTTTTAAAAGCTACATTTTCAAAATCACAAAAGAGCTGTTCTTTCACTGTGTTTGTTCCAAGAACATTATTAAATCAATAAATATTTGATTCCGGTTTGAGGAATTCACTCCACTGAGAGTTTTTAAAAATATACTTTTAAAACGAGCAATGCATATTTTAAAAGTCAGAAAAATCTTTTAATGTTGCTTTGATTCAAAGGATGACTCTCATAGATGAGAAAAAAAATCATAAAGTGCCAAATTCTTGCTTTCTAATCTTTATGCTAAGGAATCATAGAATCCCTACAGTGTAGAAGCAGGCCATTCAGCCCACATTGTCCCTTCAAAGAGCATTCCACCTACACCCACCCCAATACCCTACCCCTGTAACCCTGCATTTCCCATGGCTAATCCACCTCGCCTGCACATCCCTGGAGACTACAGGCAATTTAGCATGGCCTATCCATCTAGCCTGTACATCTTTGGACTGTGGGAAGAAACCCATGCAGACACATAGAGAATGTGCAAAATCCACACAGTCACCCAAGGCTGGAAACGAATGCAGGCCTCTGGCACTGTGAGACAGCAGTGCTAACCACTGAGCTACTACGCCACCCTATTAAGGATATAAACTCTTGATAGGTAGCCTAATTCAAAGATTTCATTTTCCTTCTGTTAAGTAAGGTAACCTTCTTCACAGCGTCTCGTTTTGTCCTGACATTTGAGCTCAGAGCTCTAACCGAATCCTCTGCAGGCCCTATTTATTCTTCTTGCTAACATTAGCATGCCCATCTTCTTCCTTCAAATATATTTCTAATTTTTCTGTGCGTTGGTCTCCAGCCAGCATACTCTGTCCTTCTGATGGGAGGTTGGGATATTTGGTAATTTGGCAACCAGAGGTCGTTTTCTACAGTAAAAACAAAAGTGCTGGAGAAACTCAGCAGATCTGGCAGGAGAGAGAGAAAAAAACTAACTTTTCGAGTTTGTTACGATTTGTCTTTGGAATTGAAGGGAGAGGTGGAAAAGTAATTTTTTTTTAATCGTAGAGGAATGTGGAAGGAGCAATGGGAACAGAAAGGAAGTTCGGTGGGTTTGCAATGAACGTTAGCAGACAGCCTACTCCTGGAAATGGGGACAGAGAAGTCAAGGAAAAGGAAGAGTCAGAGATGGATCGAGTAAAAGTGGTGAATGCAGGTTCAAATGAAGTATTCAAGAGGGGCATTGGAGAATTAGTTGGACAAAAGTAACATGCAAGGGCACGTGGTAAAAAAGCAGGACACCGGCACTAGATGAGATGCCCATTTGAAAGCAACATGGGCCGAATGGCCTCTTCCTGTGTGGTAAGACTCCTGTGATTCCATAACTACCTTTGAACTAAGTGGCTTGTTAAATCATTGTAGAAGGCAGTTAAGAGTCTACCATATTGCTGTGAGTCTGGAGTCTTATGTAGGCCAGACCATCTCAGGATGGCAAATTTCCTTCCTTGAAGGACGTTAGTGACCCAGATGAGTTTGTTACAAAAATCGATGATTTTATCACAGTTACTGAGGCTAGCTTTCCGTTCTAGGCTTTATAAACTACATTCAAATTGCGCCAGCTGCCTTGAATATCCGATTAAATGCAAAGTATGGTGGTGTTGGAAATCTAAAAGAAACTCAGCAGATCTGGCAGCATCTGCGGAGAGAGACACAGAGTTAATGTTTTGAGCTCAGTATGACTCTCATTCAGTTCGGAAGAAAATTCACACCAGCCCCGAAATGTTAACTATGTTTCTGTCCACGGAAACTACCCGACCCGTTGAATTTCTCCAGCATTCTTGGTGCTTGTTTCGCCAGAAGATTAGCCTGGCCCGGTGGATTACGAGACCAGTGAAAATATCACTCAACCATCATCATATCATGGGACAAATGAAACAAATGATGGGGCTGGGGGAAGGCTAAAGCTTTTAGATGTTTAGGAGTGAAGGTTGGAAAAACTGGCAGACATGGGAAAACTTCTCTAAGATTCAAAATCAAATCAGAATGGATTGGCAGCGCGGTAGTCTGCTGGTAACATAGTCTAAAAACCTTAATAGCTTTCAATCCACTGGCAAGATTTGTGTCCAAATGTCATCTCTCTCTTATTGGATGGGTGGTTATGATTTGGGCAGCATCCAAAAACGGTGAGTGAACCAAGACCAAAGCTGTGAGTCACTGCCTCTGTGCGCCAACTCCAGTGAGCTAACAATAGGAACTGTCAGGAATATACAGCAGGTCAGGCCAGCACCTGGAAAGAGACAAGGCAGGATCTCAATTTTTGAGGCCAAATTCCTCACCAGATTTCAGATGAAGGGCACACATCCAAAACACTGTGGGGCTAGCAATGAGTTTGTGGTAGCCTGCGCTAACATGCAAAATCAGATTGACACAAATGCAAGCGCCAGGCAGCTCGGAGGAAAATTTCTGTCTGACAGAGCAGATATGAAATAAAAACAAATAAAGCAAACAAAACACCACAGATCGAACAAGCAATTGTTAGTCACGGAAATCAACAATTTCAGGCCTAGATACTGACAATGGGGCGGGGGGTGGGGTATGCTCAGGATATTAGCTGTGACTCACTGTGTAACCTCTCTCAGCTCAGGATTAAAAGGCTAGGAGCTCAAATTCCACTCTAGTGGTTTGAGCACTTATCTCTTACTGCAGAGTGGCTCTGAGGGAAGAGCTATATTGACAGATGGTGCTGTCTTTCAGATGGGACATTGAACCCAGACCCTTTCAGGAGATATAAAGGACCCCACAGCATTATTTGAATTGCCTGTCCTGGTGACCGGGCCAGTACTTATCTCACAATTAGTATCAGTAAAACACAAATTATTTGTTTATTACAGCATTCTTATTTCTGAGAGCTTGCAATGGGTAGGTTAGATGCCACATTCCTAACATGTTCATCATAAGTTCAAAAGCACTGAATTATCTGTAAAAAATGCTTATGGTCATGCTGACTTCATAAAAAATGCTAAATAATTGCAAGTCTTTTGTTTTTTTTCTGATCTGTCTTCCCTGTTTGCAGATGCTGGAAAATCTGGTGCATCTTTCGAGTATTTTCTGTTTGTATTTCAGGTCGTAAGCTGTTAAAGTTTTTACCTTTTTATGTTTCCAATGATTACTTAATGATCACTGTCCCTGGTAACTCCGGGAATTAAAACAGATGTCCCATTGTTTCTATCATGGAAACAGTTTTGAATGGTCTCCAGAAGGAGGAAGGTAGATGTCAGCAGCTTATTTTGGATAAGAAAATGAAAGCAGAAGATTATTGTGTGGCAGCCAACAATGGAGTGAAGTGAAACTGGGATTTGGTGGGGGAAGGAGGGGATCCCTTCAGTCAGGGTACACCAGCTGCACTTGTCTCAATACCTTGGTCCAAGTGATCTAAGACATAATCCAAACTGTCTCATTCAACCATAAATTTGCCTCAAGAGCCATAAAATAAATGATTTTCATTCTCTTTGAAGGTGGATCAAACAAGGGGATTCAATTTGGAATATCAATGGTTTTTAGATTACCGTGTGAGATACTAGAATAGGAAGCTCTGATCCCATTTTAATGCCTTCGAGTTGTTCCATTCCTTTCCCCATATCCCATGATTGCTTCTCCTTCCAGATTTAAACAGCCTGAGTGTTTATGTGTGTGTCTGAGTGTGCGTGTGTATGTCTGTATGTGTGTCTGTGTGTGCGTGTCTGTGTCTGTGTCTGAGTGTGTGTGTCTTTGTGTTTGTGCGTGCATATATGTCTGAGTGTGTGTGTCTCTGAGTGTGTGTGCCTGTGTGTTTGTGTGTGTCTGTGAGTGTGCATATGTCTCTGTGAGTGTGTGTGTATACCTGTGTGCGTGTCTGAGTGTGTGTCTTTGTATACGTGTCTTTGTGTATGTGTGTGTGTGTCTGAATGTATATGTGTCTCTGTGTGTGTTTGTGTCTGAGTGTGTGTGTGTCTGTGTGCATGTGCCTGAGCGTGTGTGTCTGTGAGTTTGTGTGTGTCTGTGTGTGTTTGCGCATGTGTGTATGAGCATGCATGTTTGTGTGTCTGTGAGTGTGTGTGTCTGAGTGTGTGTGTCTGTGAGTGCGTGTGTGTTTGCGTGTGTGTGTATGAGTGTGAGTGTTTGTGTGTCTGTGAGTGTGTGTATCTGAGTGTGTGTGTCTGTGAGTGCGTGTGTGTTTGCGTGTGTGTGTATGAGTGTGAGTGTTTGTGTGTCTGTGAGTGTGTGTATCTGAGTGTGTGTGTCTGTGAGTGCGTGTGTGTTTGCGTGTGTATGTATGAGTGTGCGTGTTTGTGTGTTTGTGTGTGTGTGTGTCTGTCTGAGTGTGTGTGTGTGTCTGTGAGTGAGTGGGTGTGTGTGTGTCTGTGTGTGTGTGTGTGTGTCTGAGGCATTCCAAATCCCTAACCACTCGAAATGTCAAAAGTTTTTTCTGATCTTACTTCTGGTTCTTCTGTTAGTTACCTTCAATCTGCATCCATTGGTTATTGACCTTTCTTCCACCAGAAACAGTTTTGCATGACTTCCTGTATTCAAAGCCTTCTTATTTTTAAAGACTGCTACTGAATCTCCTCTTAACTGTCATTGTTCTGAGGAAAACAGCCTCTGTGTTTACAGGCAGCAGATTCTCGGTGGTGAAGAAACTTTATCTGACTCATTGAACCTCACCTTCTCAGTTGTTTGATGATGTGAATTTGCTAAACTGATCTATGTTCACTTTGTCTGATTGGTTATGGCTGGCTATGGACTCAGAAAATAATAAACAGGTGGTAGAAAGCATGGAGTAGACATTTAAATGTAATGTAAATAAAATTCCTACGCACAATGTCACATCTGTATTTCTTTGGAATATTATAAAATACACAACAGCTGTGATCTCTGGCTTTAACAGATCTACAACAGTTTAATAGCATTTCCTGGAAGTAATGCTACATTAGAAATTAGAATGTGAAGTACCACCTTTTCCGGTGAAAATGACCTTAAAAAATAAGTATTGGAGCAGGTTTTCCATCCCCCTCAAACCTAAACTGCCATTCAATAGGACTCAACATTCCTCCCATCCACTTTCCTGCCCTTTCTCTAGAATTCTTGATTCCCCGATGGATCAAGAATCTCTCTATCTATCTATCTCAGCTTTAATTATACTCAAGGACTCTGCCCCACAGTTTTGGAACATAGGACAGGAGGAAGCTACTCAGTCCCTTGAGCCTGTTCTGCCATTCAATGAGATCATGGCCTAACCTTTGGCCCTTATCCCTTGGTACTTTTGCTTAACAAAAACTTATCCATCTCAGATTTAAAATTAACAACTGATCCAGCATCCATTGTAGTTCATGGAAGAGAGTTCCAAAAATCTGTGTCAATCCTAACACTTCTCCTGAATGAAAACAGAAATTGTTGGAGAAACTCAGCAGGTCTGGTGGCATTTGTGGAAAGTTAACATTTTGAGTCTGGTGACATCATCCCTGTGTTAATATTCCAATTCCCCTACAATGAATAACAATGTTCCATTTGTCTCTCTAGCCACTTGCTGCAGCTGTATACTAACTTTACACCACTCATGGACCAGGACTCCCTGATCCTCCTATATCATCCAGTTGTAGGATTTTACTCCTTTCAAATACTACACTATTTTTCTATAACCAATGGATTTAACTGCATTGCCGCGATTCTGAGAATGCAGACCATCCTCATCAGACTTTACATAATGTGAAGAATAAGTATTGTTGGATGTTCTGAGTTTAATATTTCTGCTGCTGGTTAAGAATTTACTGAAAGCAAAAATTAAGTAAGAACAGTTTGATTCCTCAACCACTTGAACAGAAGTTCCAAACAGTGAGTTCATAGAATATTTATAACAGTGTTGGCAATATGTGGGTCACTAGGTCAGATTGAAACAGTGAACTTAACGTGACAGGTTTACATTTTATCCTCTACTTTGCTGAAGTTTCTCATTCTTGTTGGATCTGGTGCCGTCAGCACAAGAAACCCTCAGGTCATCACAGCTAGAGGACATTAGGCCAATGTCCAACCCAGGTACTAAGTGTGTGACACAGGGGAGAGGACTGTGGCTGAAACAGTTTCTTGATGTTCTAGCAGGGAGTTCTGGATAGCAATCACCTAATTGAATCCCATTGTTGCTTCCAAACTACTTTATTATCAGTTAAATATTTTGGAACGTCTTAAAATTGCAAAAAGTTCTATATAAATAAAAGTTCTTTCCTTCTCTTTCTGACTGATTTAAACTGAGGGAGTGTCGACATTCTGAATGCAGCCCTGATTCAGATTATCCCGTGCAGCTGAATCTGGGATCTTTTGATTTCTGACTGATCTGAAACCATCTGGGTACGTTGGGTCAGCGCAAGCAAAAATAAGTCCAAACTGTGTTCAAAGAATAATTCAAACAAAATGAGTTGACTCTCTCTCACCTCCACAAAGTGGGTTGAGAACCCTGCTTGTGACATTTCCAACTGAAAAGATGTTTCATTCCGAATGTTAGTGCCTAATATTAAAAGAGAAGGAGCCATTCATCAATGTTAAATTGTTCAGGTTTTTACATTTGCTAGTTGAAAATGTCAAAGTAACAAACGAATTACTTTTATTTTACCCAACAATGTCAAAAATAATTCATATTCCCTACCTTGCAGCACAGTGGCAGCAGTGTGTACCATCCCAAGATGCGCTGCAGGGACTTACCATGGCTTCTCCAAAGCCAGGAGCTCTGCCATCAGGGGCGTCAAAGGCAACATATACATTGGAATGCTGACTGCTTGCAGGCTTGTCTCCAAGCCATACAACACTCTGACTTGGAGCTATATCCCCATTCCTCCACTACTGGTCAAAAAACAGAGCAGTTGAAGAAGGCAGCACACCAATGCCTTTTCAAGGGATGGGCAATAAATACTGGCCCAGTCAACGATGCCCGCACCCCGTCAACTGATAGATGTTTTTAAAATTCAGAACAGGTGTATTGTGAGTCAGATGCAGAGTATTGTTCCCTCTGCACTGACCCAACAACGTACCATAAGCTGACCTCAAGGTGCATTTTCGACTGTGCAGCATGACATTGTGATCCCACATATTCCAGGCCTGAAGTGAAAGGGTTCTTTTGGCTGCCATTGCTCCAACGTAATTAGCAGGATTGGGGAGGGCTGACTGGGGAGAACTGGGATGTTTAGGCCAGTAAGATCTCTGGCAGTAAATGGGAATGCCTGTAGTTAGTTGTGGAATATCAAAATTGCAGATGAGACAAGATGGCATGAAAAGAATCCTGAAGACTTCAAAAAAATAAAGAAAGATCTGTAAATGCTGGAAATCAGAGACAAAAATAGAAATTGCTGGAAGAAGAGTTCAGTGTTGAAGGATAAATGACAGGCCTTCCACTAGTAACAAGATCTGATCTCTAATCTATTGGTAGAATCTTGGCTGCTAAACCTTATACTTTTCCTGCTTTTCAAAACAGCCATGGAACTCCAATAAAAAGATGCCCCAAATTTCATTCTGGTGCAGGGAATTCTTTGTTCCTGAAAATCTCATCCCAATCAGCTCAATAGTTAGCGCTACTACCTAACTGCGCCAAGGATCTGAGTTCAATTCCAATCCTCAGGCAGCTGTCTATGCAGAGTTTGCACGTTCTCCCCTTGTCTGCGTGGATTTCCTCCCACAATTAACCACAGGCTAGATGGATTGGCCATGCTAAATTGCCCTGTAGTGTGCAGGCTAGGCGGGGTTAGCCATGGGAAATACAGGGCAGTGGGGATAGGGTGAGAGGGTGGGATACTGTTTCGAGGGTCGGTGCACAATCGATGGGTCAACTGGCCTGCTTCCACACTGTAGGGATTCTATGAATGCTTGTGTACTTGTTTAAGTTTTTAAGCATCTCAATTAATATGATGAATAATTTCAACTTGGTCATTTGGATAAGAATGGACAAGGAACAGTTTTAAGATCAGAAATCAGCACTGAGTGCCCTGTTTTCACTCTAACCCTGCAGATATGCCCAGGACTGTTACAATTATAATACAAGACAGGCTATTAATCTTAACAATGATGGCCCTTTAAGTTTCATCTTACTATTGGTATTATCCTTTGCCCCATGGTCAATCAAGAAGGGAATTTTTTTTATTGTTCATACCTGGGATATGGGCAATGCTGGCAGGGCCAGCATTTATTGCCTGTCCCCTGTTGCCCTTGAGAAGGTGGTGGTGAGCTGCCTTCTTGAACCGCTGCAGTCCACCTGCTGTGGGTTGACCCACAATGCCCTTAGGGAGGGAATTTCAGGATTTTGACCCAGAGACACTGAAGGAATGGTGATGTATTTCCAAGTCAGGATGGTGAGTGGAGGCGAACTTGAGGGGATGATGTCCTCAAATATCTACTGCCCTTGTCCTTCTAGATAGAAGTGTTTGTGGGTTTGGAAGGTGCTGTTTAAGGACTTTTGCCAAATTTCTGCAGTGAATCTTGTAGATAGTACACACTGCTGCTACTGAGCGTCGGTGGTGGAGGGAGTGGATGCTTGTGGATGTGGTGTCAATAATGTGGGCTGCTTTGTCCTGGATGGTGTCAAGCTTCCTGAGTGTTGTTGGAGCTGCACGCATCCAGGCAGGAGTTGGGGGGTTGGTATTCCATCACACTCCTGACTTGTGCCTTGTAAATGGGGGACAGGCTTTGGGAATCAGGAGGTGAGTTATTCCTAGCAGGACTCCTAGATTCTGACCTGGTCTTGTAGCGCTGTGTTTATATGGCTAGTTCAGTTGTGTTTTTGGCCAATGGAAAACCCCAGGATGTTGATAGTGGAGGATTTAGTGATGGTAACTCCATTGAATGCCAAAGGGCAGTGGTTAGATTGTCTCTCATGGGAGATGGTCATTACCTGGTATTTCTGTGATGTGGATATTACTTGCCACATTTCAGCCCAGGATATTGTTCAGATCTTGTTGCATTTGAACATGACTGCTTCAGTGACTGAGGAGTCACGAATGGTGCTGAACATTGTGCAATCATCGGTGAACATCCCCAATTCTGACCTTATGATGAAGGGAAGGTCATTGATGAAACAGCTGAAGATGGTTGGGCCTAGGACACTACCCTGAGGAACTCCTGCAGAGATGTCCTGCAGCTGAGATAATTGACCTCCCACAACCACAACCATCTTACTATGTGGCAGATTTGACTTTGCATAAAAGTAGTTAAATTCATGCAACACATAAATTAGACTGATTCTGTAGCAATATCATACCCTCCCCCTGACAGGAGGTAAGGTTGATTGAAATTTTATTTGGTTATTCCTGCCAAAACTTGTTTTAATTTTTAGGATCCCAACACCTGCATTGTATCCAACTTCCACCGTACTTTATCGGCTGTAAAGAGCTTAATTTGATTTAAATCTTTCACAGGATTTGGGCAGCATTGGCAAAAGCGGGAACAAAAACAAAGTTGCTGGAAAAGCTCAGAAGGTCTGGCAGCATCTGTGGAGGAGAAAACAGAGTTAACGTTTCGAGTCCGGTGACCCTTCCTCAGAACACAAGGGTCACCGGACCCGAAACGTTAACTCTGCCTTCTCTTCCACAGATGCTGCCAGACCTGCTGAACTTTTCCAGCAACTTTGTTTTTGTTCCTGATTTACAGCATCCGCAGTTCTTTTGGTTTTTATTGGCAAACTAGATTTACTGCCCATCAGTGTGAGCTTTGCAGTTAGCCTCCTTGTTGAACCCTGCAGTCTGGGATCCCTTAAGTTCCTCCATGTGCCCTCAGGTTTAGAAATTGCAATGTAAATTCAAGCTTCTCTTTAAAGTTCATAAAAATCCCACCGAAATACCAACGAGTCTGTACCTTCCAAGCTGAAGATTCTTGCTCCGAGTGCATCCACAATATCCTTCAGGGCTGCCTCATCAGAGACATTGAAGAAATGTTTATCGGCTGGATGACTGGCTATTGATTTAATCTCTTTTAGGAAGTCACTTGGATTGATACCTCTCCTGTTGTAATAGCCCAGCACCTGTAGAGCAGAACAACAAGTTTACTAACTCAGAAACCTTTCCCTGCAACTCTCCTAAAGCCACACTCCAATACCCAGGTGTCCATGCCTCATGCCAGGTGTTGAGTGCCAGCTTGCTATTTGACTAAGGGGAGCATCATAGCAAATCCCAATCTTGTCTGCAACTGAGATCCACACACATTGCGTTCATATCAAGAGTCTGGGAACACTTTTTTATTTGTTTATGGGATGCGGGCATCGTTGTCTAGGTCTGTGCTTATTGCCGTTGTTTAATTGCCCAGGAAGGCCATGGTGAGCTACCTTCTTGAACCACTGCAGTCTTTCAAGTGTAGGTGCACCATAATGCTTTTAGAGAGGGAGATCCAGAATTTTGGCCCAGTGACAATAAAGGAATAGTGGTACAGTTCCAACTTGAAAGGCACTATACAAATGTAACCTGTTGCACCTGAAACCAAACAGGAGCAGAGATCCTGAAGGGTTTTCCCAATGTTTACTGTTGAAGTGGAATAGAGTGTGGCCTTACAGGTGCTCTGGGAAAGATGTCAGCTTGTCAACTCAATATTTATTGACCCTGGCATCTTACTAAACTGTTGGCTTGGTCAGTCATGAACTGAAGTAATGATAACTATTGACCCTGCCAGGACTGTGTCTAAGAGTGAAGCTGGCTTTGTGTAGATTGCCTACCGCAATGGCATATCTGGTGATGTTGTCCCGCTCGCTGTCCTCAATCACTTGCTTTAGATGTGGGCTGTCATGTGATTCACCATCGGTTATGACGATCATCACCTTCTTGGCTTCCTTCCTTGCACCTCTTCTGATGCTGAATGCCTCAGACCTGACAGAGATAAAGAGAACACTCTTTAAACCGGCCATCCTTCAGAAGAGATATTAAACCAAATCGCTGACTGTTTGTATCAGTAATTGAGTTCCCATGACACTATTCCAGGAAGGGAAGAAGTTCTTCTGATATCTCATTCCTTCCTTTGTTAAATCCAGGCTTCACTCTTTCATTGCTGTCTTCGGTTGACCTCCTTTCTTTCAATTTACATAAACCTGACATCATCCAAAATTTTGATGCTCACATCCTAATTTGAATCCAAGTCAACCTGGGCTCCCAGGTTCACATTTCTCCTTGTTTCCAAATCCTTCCCTGGTCTCTCCCTTCCTGAACTCCACAATCTCCTGCAGCCTCCCAATCCTCAAGGCTTTCTGTGTTCCTCTGGATTATCTAAAATTTAATTCCTTTCCCATTGGAGTGTTGTGGCTCAGAGGGAGGTCATGGTATAGACCTGAGGAACAGCCAACGTACCCGAAATATTAACTCTGACTTTTTTCTTCACAGATGCTGCCAGACCTGCTGAGCTTTTCCAGCAACTTCTGTTTTTGCCTCAGGGCATTGCTCCAGGGATAAGAGTTCAAATCTCAACAAGGCAGATAGTGAAATTTGAATTCAGCAAAGAGCCAGTCTAATGGTGACTGCGCAGTTGCTGTCAATTGTCATCTTAAAAAAAAACAACTGGACTTTTATAGGAAGGATATTATTAAGCTGGAGAGGGTTCAGAAGATATTTATCAGGATATTGCCGGGAATGGGGGTTTGAGTCATATGGAGATGTTGGATAGGCTGGGACATTTTTCACTGGAAAGTAGGAGGTTAAGCGGTTGCCTTATAGAGGTTTATAAAATCATGAGGGGGAAAGATAAGATGAATGGAAGGTGTCTTTTCCCGAGGGGACATATTTTTAAGGTGATAGGAAAAGGATTTAAAAAAGGCACGATGGGCAATTTTTTGACACAAAGAGTGGTTTGCACGTGGAATGAACTTCCAGACGAAGTGGTGAATGCGGGCACAGGTACAACGTTTAAAAGACATTTGGATAAATACATGAGTAGGAAAGGTTTGGAGGGATATGGGCCAGGAGTAGGCAGGTGGAACTAGTTTAGTTTGGAATGATGGTCGACATGGATTGCTTGAACTGAAGGGTCTGTTTCCATGCTGTATGACTTTATAACTCTATGGTGAGCTGTGGTTCACTAATGTCCTTTAGGGAAGGAAATCAGCTCTCCTTACCTGGTCTGAATCACAAGTCATTCCAAGCCTACAGCAATGTGGTTTACTCTTAACTGGACAATTAGGGATGGGTAATAAATGTTGACCTGACCACCTCATGAATGAATTAAAGGAAAGAATTCCCACCCTGAAATGCTTTCTTGTTTTTTTCAGCCATTCCTTAAAACCTATGTCTTTGGCCTCTTTTTTAGGCACCTATCCTGACACCTCTTTCTGTAGACACTCCCTGTGGGGTTTATTTTATTACTCATTCACGGGATGAAGGCATCACTGGCTGGACCAGCATTTATTGTCCATCCCTAATTGCCCAGAGGGCAGTTAAGAGTCAACCACATTGTTATGGGTCTGGAGTCACATGTAGGCCAGACCGGGTAAGGATGGCAGATTCCTTCTCTAAAGGACATTAGTGACTCAGATGGGTCTTTCTGCCAATCAACTATGGATTCATGGTCATCATTAGACTCCTAATTCCAAATTTTTATTGAATTCAAATTCCACCATCTGCCAAAGTGGGATTTGAACTCAGGTCCCCAGAACATTTCTTGGGACTCTGGATTAACAGTCCAGCGATAATACCATCACCTCCCCCTAATGGTGCCATGTTTTCACCCTCAAGGCGATGTGTAAATGTAAGTCACTGTTGTTATCCTGGGCAACATTCTTCCCTTGGGCCCCAACACCCGGGAAAACAACCTGATGAACAGCTCGGTCATCTTGTTCACTGTTTATGGGATCTTGCTGTGCACAAAACTGTTTAACAACATGGGCCACATTTCAAAAATTGGTTGTGAACTTCTTTAGGAGGCTCTACCTGTGTGATTGGCAACTACAGAGCAAAGCAGGGCAATTGAGCAGGGTCTGATGAAGGTTCTAGGCCCGAAACATCAGCCTTCCTGCTCCTCTGATGCTGCTTGGCCTGCTGTGTTCATCCAGCTCTGCACCTTGTTGTCTCAGCTGAGCAGGAATTATTTTGAAAAATGCATCTGCGTAAATGGGATAGCATGAATTAGCAGAAGGCAGACAGAGGTTGGGCTCCAACTTAGCTGGGATTTGTATAGCCTAATCTTTGCTGGGGGAGCGGAAACACAACTCATCGGATTTTCCTTGCTTTAGTAGGATTTAGAGCCATAGAGTCATACAGCGCAGAAACAGACCCTTCAGCCCAACTCGTCCATGCTCACCATGTTTTCTAAACTGAACCAGTTCCATTTGCCTGTGTTTGGCCCATATCCCTCTATACCCTTCCTATCCATGTACCTGTCCAAATGTTTTTTAAATGCCCTAATTCTACCTGCCTCTAGCACTTCATCTGGCAGCTCATCCCATATATGCGCCACCCTCTGTGTGAACAAGTTGCCCCTCAGGTCCCTTTTAAGTCTTCCCTCTCTCACCTTAAACCTATGCCCTCTAGTTTTGGACTTCCCTACCCTGGGAAAGAGACTTTAGCTAATCACTGTGTCTCGGCCACTCATGATTTTATAAACCTCCATAAGGTCACCCCTCAGCCTCCAGTTTAATAATATCCGTCCTATTGCAAGGTGACTAGAATTGTACTCTGTAGCCCAAATGTGGACTTACCAATGTCTTGTACATCTGTGACATGACATTCCAACCCCTGTACTCAATGCTCTGACCAATGACGGCAAATGTGCCAAACACCTTCTTCACCACCCTATCTACCTGTTCTTTCCAAGAAGCTTAACATGATGAAGCCCAGACCTCTCTCCCGAATGTATTTTGCAGGGTTTTAAATCTCAGGCTGCCAATTACTAACTGATTTCCACCATCTTATGGCTTGCCACATTTCTATTATGACCCTTGGACCTTGAGGACAATTAGCCAGAATAATAATGTGAACCACAAATTTGGACCTTGTCCAATAAACACAAAACAAACTAATAAAGCGATCACAGATTACAGGGAGAAGATAGAAGAATGGGGATGAGAAACATATCAGGTGTCATGGAATGACGGAATGGACACAATAGGCCAAATGGCCTAATTCCGCTCCTATATCTAGAACATAGAACATAGAACATAGAACATAAGAGCGCAGTACAGGCCCTTCAGCCCTCGATGTTGCGCCGACCTGTGAAACCAATCTGAAGCCCATCTAACCTAAACTATTCCATTATCATCCATATGTTTATCCAATGACCATTTAAATGCCCTTAAAGTTGGCGAGTCTACTACTTTTGCATATCTTATGGTTTTATGATGGAATATGTAAGAAGATTGCTCCTATCTGAAATATTATTTGAAAATTTAAAAATAAAATCATAATTTTCAGTTCTGAAACAGTAACATTTGGCTTGAAACATTAACTCGGTTTCTCTCTCCACAGACCTGCGAGACCTGCTAAGTTTCTCCAGCACTTTCTGTTTTTATTTCAGATTTCCAGCATCCACTGTACTTTGCCTTTCATACGATTTGGACAAGAATAGGGAGCCTTTGACCTTTCATTGCATCCATCGACAATGAGGTCACCAAAAATTTGCAAGGTTAGCACGAGTGAAAAATGCTTGCAGTGTGTTTGGGGTGAGTCTGGAATCCTGTGGTTGGAATATGTGCAATAGCAGTTAACCCAAAGCAGCCAGTGTTCCCATTGTGGAGCTGCGAGGGAAAACAGAAACTCAGGCAGTTTTATTGCCCATTAGAGCTCCCGGTTTCCTTTGCTGCTAACAATCTGTCCATTCAGTTTCTGGCAGTTTTAATCGTAAACTTGAAAGTTGCAGAGCTCTGCTGAGGAAGCTTGGTGCCAGTTGAAGAGAAGCTGAATGTAACTGTTACAGTGTTCTCAGTTCTGCTGTGGTGGGGAGGGCTGTAGCATGATAGGGAGCCTGGGAGGGGTGATGGAGGTTCTGCTGGAGGTGCAGTGGTGTGTGTGTGGCTTGGGGGGGGGGGAGGGGGGGAATGGGTTATAGTTAATGCCCTGTTCCCAATTGCCACCGAGACAGCTAAAGAAAATTACTTGTCAGCACTTGTACTGTCCCTGATAAGAATGATTTGCATTAATCCAGCAGAGTTCACAGACTCGTAACTTCCCAAAGACATCTTATGTTCACAGCTGATCAAGTAATTTAGATATAGAAGGTCAAATCTTACACCTTTTTAGCTAAGTGTCCATTTTTTTGAGGTTGTTTTTCGGAGGGATTACTGTTAAAGGACAAGCTGCTTCTCTCATTGTCACTAACTGTTGCTGCCTCCCTGGCACAGCTGCCCACTGCCCAGGCTGTAGCCGAACGAACCTGTGAGCAGCTGGAGCAGAAAACTGACCATGACTAAGGCACTGTGCAATGTGTGGACTGTGCCCCTGACCGGTGATACTGGGACACCCTGACTCCCAGGGTCAAACTCTAATTCTCCACCTCACAAACTGCACTGAGGACTAGCCCCCACCCAGTTTCCAAATCGGCCATTTGGTTGAATGAATGTGCCGTGTGTTTGCCACACAGGCAGCTGGCACACACTGTCGGGGTCAGATTGGTGTCTCAGTGTGTCATACAGCAGGATGACCATCGCCCTGCCCCCAGACAGCTCCTGGCTGACCAGCCTCCCTTCTGTGTGTCTGAGCAAAACAGCGCGACAACCCGGCACAACGGAGAGCCTTTAGACCCTGATTGAAGCACCAGCTGACAGGCACGGCGAGGCAAGGGGAGAAGGAAGCGAGGGGAGGGGAGGGGATGGGAGGGTAGGCGAGGGGAGGTGAGGTGTGGTGAGGTGAGGTGAGGGGAGGCGAGGTGAGGTGAGGGGTGGTGAGGTAAGGGGAGGGGAGGCGAGGTGAGGTGAGGGGAGGTGAGGTGAAGTAAGGTGAGGTGAGGGGAGGTGAGGCAAGGTGTGACGAGGTGAGACGAGGTGAGGCAAGGTGAGGCGAGGTAAGATGAGGCGAGGTGAGGTGAGGTGGGGCGGGGCGAGGTGAGGTGAGGTGTGGGGAGGTGAGGGGAGGGGAGGTGATACAAGGTGAGGCGAAGTGAGGTGAGGGGACATGAGGTGAGGGGAGGTGAGGTGAGGTGAGACAAGGTGAGGCAAGGTAAGGTGAGGCGAGATAGGGTGAGGGGAGGTAAGGTGAGGCGAGGTAAGATGAGGTGGGGTGAGGTGAGGTGAGGCGAGATGAGGTGGGGTGAGGTGAGGTAAGTCAAGGTAAGATGAGGTGAGGTAAGATGAGGCAAGGTAAGATGAGGCGAGGTAAGGTGCGGTGAGATAAGGTGCGGTGAGATAAGGTGAGGTGGGGTGAAGATAGGTGGGGTGAGGCAGGGACTACTGGGGATTTGCAAGCAGACGCTAAGTGAGCGAGGGAGTGAGTGAGCACCCTGAGATGGTCCCTGCTCCAATCGGGATTTGGCTGCCTGTCAGTGTGGGAAGTGCACCCCCTGCAGCCTGTCAATGCTGGTCGTGGGGGGGCCCCTGCCGAACAGGTCTGTGCTCCCCGATTGTCTTGGAAGGGCTCAGAGAGGCACCATGAGGATAGAGTCACAAAATCATTGGGGTCTACAGCACAGATAAAGCCCCGTCGGCCCATCAAGGCTGTGCCAGTGAAAAGCAGCCACCAGACTATTCTAATCCCATTTTCCAGCACTTGGCCTTGTATGCCAGGGTCATAAGAGTTTGGCAATATTAGCTACCAGTATGGCTGGTGCCATGTAGCATGGCATGAGATGCTGCTTGGTGCTGAGTAACATGGAGACTGGTCACAGCCAGCCCAGTGAGCTGAAGTCCTTGCTCAGATTTCTACATTAAGAATTTTCGGTGTCTCCTTTCCTCAGGTGTTTGGTGAAACAGGAAGCCATATATTTAAGAAGCATGATGTGCAGTTCATAAAGTGTTTAACCAACAATAATTCCCCTCAACTGACAACTCACCGCTGACCAGGGAGAAAGTCACCTTGCTGCCTGGAACCTGCTCAAAAGATGCAGCGAGTCGCGGGTGACATTGAGATAGCCCCCAGCAAACATCTCACACAATTCTGCCACATTCCCACCTGCTACTAGACTTTTGAAAGGACCTTTGAAATTTCAAATTTAGTTTTGACCTCGCTGTTTGTGAACCTTCTCTGCAGCTTAACATTCCTCACTGTGTTCTATTACCCTAATGCACTTTGTATGGTATGATCTGCCTTTACTGCACATAAAACTAACCTTTTCACTGTACCCTAGGTACATGTGACAATAAAAAATCAAATCAAATCATCATTCCACTCACGGTCTCTGTAGGCAGCACAAAACTCAATTTGTACACAGCAAAGTCCCACAAATAGCTAAATGATCCTCAGATTATTCTCCTCTGACTAAAGAAGGTTAAGAGGAGATTTGGTTGAGCTACTTAACATCATCGTAACATTTAGGTTGAGAAAATAAAGACAAATTGTTTCCAATGGTGAAAACCAGTGGACATTGCTTTAATGAAATTGGTAGGAGAACCAGAGACAATAAGCAGAATAAATATTTCCATGTAACAGGTTATTTTTTATTTCATTCACAGGATGAGGGCATCACTGGCTAGGCCAGCATTTATTGCCCAGAGGGCATTTAAGAGTCAACCACATTGCTGTGGGTCTGGAGTCACATGTAGGCCAGACCAGGTAAGGATGGCAGTTTCCTTCCCTAAAGGACATTAGTGAGCCAGATGGGTTTTTCCGATAATCAGCAATGGATTCATGGTCATCATTAATCTCTCAATTCCAGAATTTTACTGAATTCAATTTCCACCATCTGCCACAGTGGGATTCAAATGTGGGACATACAGATTCAGTAGTAGCTTTCATCCAGTGTCTTTCACCCATTTGTTTTAGAGTTAGGATAGGGTCTTGGACGTCATTACCGTGCGATCTCAATGCCATGTGCTGTATTGGTTTCTGTCCCTCCTCGCTGTTCGATATTCCTGGCAGCCTTGACAACATCAGTAACAGACTTGTAGTCCCTCAGCTCAAACTCATGCACAGCTGTCTCTCCGTACTGCACAATGGCCAGCTGTGGAACAAGTACGGAGGTTAAACCAACACAGATGAAGCACAGGGCACACTGTAACCCTCCCCTCCTCCTCAGACCCTCACCAACCTCTAATCTCTCCTGTCACCCGCAATTCCTCTCCTGCCAATGAGCCAGCTGCCCATTACCAATGTTAGGTTCAAACTGTGTAATACAGGCTGTTATATTGTTGTTTTTAATTTTAATCAATCTTTTTCCTTATCAATAACTCTCACTTTTAATGAACCCCAATACATTACAATGTTGACCGATATGTTCTGATATAGAGACAGAGTCATGGATGTCTACAGCACTGGTAAAGGCCCTTCGCCCATTGAGTCTACGCTGGTCGAAAACTTTGTTTCAATTTACAGAACAAATTACTCAATGTAGAATTGATTCTTCGTAAACTAGATAGGTATTAAAACAAAATATTTACAGTAAAATTCCATTCCTGAGCTTATTGACCCAAACACGGTCATAGACTTAAACAGCACACAAACAGACCCTTCGGTCCACTTGTCCATGCCGACCAGATATCCCAAATTAATCTAGTCCCATTTGCCAGCATTCGGCCCATATCCCTCTAAACCCTTCCTATTCATGTACCCATCCAGATGCCTTTTAAATGTTGTAATTGTACCAGCCTCCACCACTTCCTCTGACAGTTCATTCCATAATGCACCACCCTCTGCTTGAAAATGTTGTCTCTCAAGTCCCTTTTAAATCTTGCCCCTCTCCCCTTAATCCTATGCCCTCTAGTTTTGGACTCCCCCACCCTGGGGAAAAGACCTTGTCTATTTACCCTAAACCATGCCCCTCATGATTTTATAAACTTCTATAAGGTCATCCCTTAGCTTCCGACACTCCAGGGAAAATAGCCCCAGCCTATTCAGCCTATCCTTATAGCTCAAACCCTCCAACCCTGGCAACGTCCTAATAAATCTTTTCTGAACCCTTTCAAGTTTCACAACATCCTTCCTACAGCAGGGAGATCAGAATTGAACGCAGTATTCCAAAAGTGGTCAATCCAATGTCATGTACAGCCTCAACACGACCTCACAACTCCTATTCTCAATGCACTGACCAATAAAGGCAAGTATGAAAAGTATGAAGTTTACAAGCAGTGATATTTCGCTACCAAGTGTTTAACATACTATCCTTGCAACTTTGTGATCTATATTCCAATCTGGCCAGAACTGACAGGTTGAAAGGCTCCTTACGCTGCCTGTTATTGTAGATTTACGTGTGTAACATTTCCTCCTTGTGCTGCCAGATACAGGGGTAAAGCTGGGGGCTTTTTGGATTCTCAACCTAGTATCCATTATGTGTGATCCCAGAGTGTGAGGGTCAATGGGCAATTCAATCATGAACATAAACCCCTCATCCATCATCCACTCTTACATAGCAGGTCCAGTGCTCACTGGCTAATGATTACAGCACGAAACCTTGGCCATGTTTCCTTAGGTACTGGGTACTGACACTGAGCACGGTAGAGGTGATTTTTTTTTCAGAAGGAGTCTGTTCATCAACACCAACTAGGATATGGCCAATAAATATTGGTTTTACCAGTGAAGAATATATTTTATAAGAGCATAAGAAATAGGAACAGGATTAGGCCACTCAGCCCCTCAAGCCTGCTCCACCATTCAACAGGATCATGGCTGAGCCAACACTCCTCACTCTCCTGCCCTTGATTCCCTGACTGATCAAGAATCTATCTATCTCAGCCTTAAATTTACACAAGGACGCTGCCCCCACAGCTCGCTGTGGCAAGGAGTTTCAAAGACTCTAAACCCTCTGAGAGAGAAAATTCATCCTCATCTCAGTCTTAAATTGGTGCCCCTTTATTTTGAGATTATGCCCTCTGGTCCTAGACTCTCCCATGAGGGAGGATTTACTGATATCTTTCCTGAAATACAGGGACCAAACCTGCTCACAGTCCTCCAGATGTGGTCTGACCAGCACCTTGTACAGTTGCAATGAGACTTTCCTACCATTATACTCCAACCAACTTCAGAATAAGGGTCAACAATCCATTTGCCTCCCTGATTCCCTGTTGCTCCTGTGTGCTAGTGCACAAGTACCCCCAAGTCCCTTTGTGTTGTAGTTTTCTGCATTTTTTCTCCATTTAAATAATACTCTTGTTCTCATGTTCTCCCTTCCAAAATGAACAACTTCAAATTTAATCCACATTTTATTCCATTTGCTAACATTTTGCCCACTTGCTTAACCTATCAATATCCATCTGTAAATTGCCTGGATCCCTCTCACAACTTGCCTTTTCATCTATTTTTGTATTTTCTGCAAATTTTGCTACAGTAGCTTCCTTCTTCCAAGTCATTATTATATAGTGTAAACAGTTGAGGTCCCAGCTCTGATCCCTGTGGAACCCCACTGATCGCAGGTCATCAACCTGAAAAAGAACCCCTTATTCCTCACTCTTTGTTTCCAGCCCATGAGGCATTTCTCAATCTGTACCAATGTACTACCTCCAGCACCAGGGGCTCTTAACCTTTCCCGAGGTACCTTGCCAAACACCTTCTGAAAGTCCAAATACAGCTGGTTCCCCTCTACCCACTCCAGTTGAGACTTCCTCAAAGAACTCTAATAAATTAATCAGACACAATTTCCCTTTCATGAAGCCATGCTGACTCTGCTGATTAGGTTATGGTTTTCCAAATATTCTGCTATTGCTTCCTTAATAATTAATTTCAACACTTTTCCAACAATAGACATTAAGTTAGTCGGTCTATAGTTATGAATAAATTATTTTCCCTATCTGGAAGTTCTATGACATGCAACTGAATGGTTTATCCTTTCAACAAATCACATAGGGCAATTTTCACCTATTAACCACCACGGCTAATTCATCTGTTTTTTTCTCCAATTGATTAATTTACGTGCAAAGCCCATTGAGGACAATGCAACGACATGAAACACGAGGGAGAGAGGGAAAGGGCGAAATCAAAATGGAGTTGGAAGGGGAGGTAAGGCGCTTTACTCTTTTTGTGCCCACATCACTCTAAAAGCATCGAGGATGTTGGTGGACAGTGTGTGGTCCCTTTCCAATGGGTATGAATGTATTCTGACAGAGATAGTAAGAACTGCCAATGCTGGAGTCAGAGATAACACAGTGTGGAGCTGGAGGAACACAGCAGGCCAGGCAGCATCAGAGGAGCAGGAAAGTTGACGTTTCAGGGCAGGGCCCTTCTTCAGAAATTCTGAAACGTCAACTTTCCTGCTCCTCTGATGCTGCCTGGCCTGCTGTGCTCCTCCAGCTCCACACTGTGTTATCTCATGAATGTATTCTTTTGTTTAGATTCTTAGATTGGTGACCTTACAACCTTTATCCTTGATCTTTAATTTCCTCCACACTATTGACATGTACTTAATACCCGTGAGCTGTAACAGGTAACGAATCCCAGCCTACAGGCTCTACATTGGATTCATGTAAAGCAGGAGACATTTTGTGCTCACCCGTATCTGGCCAGGTCCAATGTAAAATTTCTTCAGAATATTTATAAGGAAGTTCTGGACTTCATACCAAGGGTAGATACTGTTGGAGCCATCTAAAACGATCACAATGTCCATAAAGGTCTCACAGCCTACGGAGAAAATCAGGTCAATTGTCAATGCCATGCCTTGGGTGTTGGTTATATTGGACAGCTGGTTTATAGACATGCTGCTTCAAGCCAAGCACCTTTGTTTGTTATTCCCTCAGATTGAAAGCAGATCATGCAGCACATGCAGGGAAGCAGGGACTCCATTAACGACTAAAGCACACATGCAAGTTGAGAGCAGTAGAGACAGGCTTGTCATACGCTGGATGGCAGGTGCAAAGGCCCGGGCACTTTTGAAGTTGGAGCTGATTTTGCAGCAGATCCCAGGGCTGTAGTAGGAGCTCCCGCACTCATGGGACCAGAGTGGCCCGCAGGTCTGTGGAGAAAGCAGAGGAACAGGGAGAGAGGTGAAAAGTCACACGGGTGCTGGAGTTCAATCAATCCTCTGAGACGTATCATTCCTTAACAACCTCTGCAAGTCTAATTAACCTGTTCAGAGGTGTTATTACACACCTCCAGAGAAGGTGGGATTGAACCTGGGCCTCCTAGCTCAGAGGTAGGAGCACTACCACAACAGCCCTTAAATTGTACAGCAGATATTTTCCCAAATCAACCTGTTTGGAGTTATAATTACACATCTCTGGAGAAGGAGGGACTTGAACCCCAGCCTCCCAGATCAGAGGTAGGGACACTACCACTGTGCCACAAGAACCCCTTTACACAGCTGCTACCATTAGGCACAGAATTTGTTGCAAGTGATCTTGATAATAAACCAAGCGACCTACGAGTCACCTAATCATGGCTACCTAACTATCGCTGACTTTAATCACTTCACCATTGGTGGTTATGCCCTCAACCATCAAAGTTCTAATGTCCTGAATTCCCTCTCCATACCTGCTCACCTTTCCTTTCTCTCTTTCCTCTTCTCAATTCTTTTTTAAAACCTTCCCTCTTTGACCCACTTTTGTTCATCTGATTTAATATCTGGAATAAAAAGATAGCTTTGTAACCATATAACCACCATTAACTGTTGTACATCTAGTTCACTAATGTCCTTCCAGGAAGGAAACTGCCATCCTTATCTGGTCTGGTCCACATGAGACTCCAGACCCACAACAATGTGGTTGACTCTTAAATGCCCTCTGGGCAATTAGGGATGGGCAATAAATGTTGACCCAGCCAGCCATGCCATGATTATATGAATAGATAGAAATATTTTCTTTGGGACTCCATGAAATTCTTTGTGAAGTGTCTCATGGTGTTTTCCTATATTAAAGGTACTGTATAAATGTAAATTGTTATTGTTTCTGCAAATATCATTACTTGGATTCAAGACTTTTTGGTTTGATCTATAAAGGTCACTCTAAGTCACCAAACAGGAAATTAGAAAAATAAATGCCTTTGGACATCAGTAGTACAATACTCCAACAATGAGTTCAAACTCAAAAGACATTTCCATTGAAGCAACAGAATACAAATTACAAGTACATTCGAATTTCTTTGCGAATGTCTACAACAGTGCAAGCCTAAAAGCTTTACACTAAAATACTGTCATTGCTGGGACAGGCCCAATTCCAAGACTGTTCCTTATTTTTTCTTTCTGGCTCTTAAGACAGAAAATGAGAGAAATACTGGGATGGGGGAAGCAGGAGATCGGGCTCTCCAGAAGGAATTGCCAGAGATTTCAATCTGCTTGAAGAGACTGTGGTTGTGCTGTTTAGCCTCCTTTCCCACTTGCACAAGGCTGTGGGCTTCCCTTTGGCTTCAACGCAGATTCATGAAACAGTTCATCAGAGCAGGGCCCTGTTTAGAATGGTGTTGACGCGTTATGCAGCCCAAACATATCTAACTCATTTCAGTGTTGGCCCCTGTGGCTGGTTAAGGACCCACATTCAGTCCCAATCCCCCTTGTCAGGAGCATGATCCACCTGCATAGACAGTAAAGCAACATAGCCAGGATGAGGCCATTAAGCCCCTCAAAGTTGCTGTACCATTCAACTAAATCGTGGCTAGTCGTAGCAATCATGGAATCCTGATAGTGCCGAAAGAGGCCCTTTGGCCTATCGAGTCTGCACTGACCCTCTGAAGAGCATACCAGCCTATCCCTGTAACCCCACATTTACCATGGCTAATCCATCTAGGCTGGTTTTAAACCCCCATGTCAGCTCTTTGTTTTAATTTCTGATTGTTTCTCCTGTGACTCCTGCCCGACATTGCCTGTGATGTTGGAATGTGGGTTTGGGATCAGACTGAGCTGGGATACACTGCAGGTTTAATTAGCTTTCCATGCTTCCCATTCAGGACTGACATTGGAAGGACAGGCACTTGGGCACCATGCTTGAATGCTGGTAAGACACGGGCAGAACTGGCAGTGAAATGAGGGACCTTGAAGAAAGGTAGGAATTGATGCAGGAAATCTCATTGATGAGACTACTTTTAAAAGAAAAGCCCCTCATGAGTAAAGAGTATTTGTGAAGCAATTGCCTACATTAACATTGTTGACCTTATTAACATTATTGGCCTCATTCACAACAGCAAGACCACAAATGTCGCCAACTGGTTAAACATTTATTTGCAGTGCTGTTGATTGAGAGTTGAACATTAGCCAGGGCATCAGAAGATTTCTTTTTTGTGTAACATGTTGAAATCTTTAACATTCACCCGACCAATACTTTTTGATGTAATGCCGCACTGAAAGGATGGTAACAGCAACAAAGATGGGGGGTTATGCCCTGATGGTCAAATACAGCAGCCCTCCCTCCCACCACTTTGTATATCATGGCCAGTAACCTAAATGATTTAATAATGTTCTTACAGCCGACTCCTGTGGTGCACAGCAATGCTGTGATAATAACTGAGTGAATCATCACTCACTCTCCCTCTCCTTGATCCAGTTCCATTACTGCACTTAGCTAAGAGCATTCCAAGACACCAATTTGACTCAAAAAAGAGAGTTGCTCAACACAGAGCAGCATTTCAAACAGATAGTTGGCTTCCACAGACAAATGTGCCTCACAAAGAGCATGCTCGCTCAACATGCCACCAAGTTCCTAGAACAGAATAGTGAATATTTGGGACGTTGTACGGTCGAAGATTGGGTGTGATGTCCTGGAGGCTGTGTAATCCCTAAAACACTGTAATTCCAGGAAAGCTGAATGTTGGTAATACTGAATCATTTTTACCCTACTGTGTGATTACCATGTCACTAAAGTATTAAATAATGCTGAAGCAGCAGATTTAGTTTGATTTTGAAAGTCTCTATTGAATGATGTCCTTTTTCCTTCATTTGGAACTAAAACAGAAATTGAGTCAGATATCCACACCAAAATGTTTGTAAAATTCCTTCGCAGCATGTGGGCATTGTTAGCTGAGCTAACATTTATTACTCATCCCTAATTGCCCCTTGAGAAGGTGGTGGTGAGCTGCCTTCTTGAACCACTGGGGTCCATGGGCTGTAGGTAGACCCACAATGCCCTTAGGAAGATAATTGCAGGATCTTGACCCAGTGACAGTGAAGGAATGTGACTGACATATTCTGCTGATGGATCTGGTTTTGACTGATCAATGCCCCAATGCTCAGCAGGTCGGTTTCAGAGAAGATACTACTGTTAGAGACTATGGAATCATTTCTTTGGCATTTTGTAATAAGTGCAAAGTGAGGAGATGGGTTGGAGACCTCAAAAAATTTCCTCTTCTGCTTCCAAAGGGTAATGATTTCAGCTTCCTCTGACAGATGAAATTTCCCTGCTATCATAGAGCCATACAGTCCTACAGCTCGGAGACAGGCCCTTTGGCCCAAACTGATCAATGCCAAACAAAATGTCCATCCACGCTAACCCCATTTCCCTGCACATGGCCCACATCATTCTAAACCTTCCCTATCCATGTATTTGTCCAAATACCTTTTAAATGTTGTTTATGTACCCGCCTCAACCACTTCCACTGGAAGCTCATTCCATATGCGTACCACCCTCTTGTGTAAAAACGTTGCTCCTCGGGTTCCCATGTGTTCTTTCCCCTCTTACCTTAAACTGATGCCCTCTAGTCCTTGATTCCCCAGCCCTGGGAAAAAGACTGAGTGTATTCACCCTATCCATACCTCTCATGATCTTATACACTTCTTTGAGATTCCCCCTTAGTCTCCTATGCTCGAAAGAAAAAAGTCCTAGCTTGTCCAACCTCTCCCTATAACTCAGTCCCTTGAGTCCTGGCAACATCCTTGTAAATTTCTTCTGCACTCTTTCCAGTTTAAGAACATCCTTCCCCAAGCTAGGTGACCAAAACTGAACACAATACTCCAAGTTGGCCTTACCACTGCAACTTCTATACTCAATGCCCTGGCTGATGAAGGCCATTGTGCCAAAAGTCTTCTTCACCGTCCTGTTTACCTGTGACTCCACGTTCAGAGAACCGTGCACCTGAACTCCAAGGTCCTTGTGTTCCACTATACTCCTTAAGACACTACCACTCATCATGAAACTCCTACCTTGATTTGACTTTCCGAAAGGAAACACCTCACACTTATCGATATTAAACTCCATTTGCCATTTCTCAGCCCAATTCCCCAGCTGATTAAGATCCTGCTGTAATTTCTGATAACCTTCCTCACTGTCCACAATATTGCCTATTTTAGGGTCATCTGCAAACTTACTAATCACACCTTGTACATTCTCATCCAAATCATTGATATAGATAACTAACTGCAATGGGCCCAGCACTGACCCCTGAGGCACACCACTAGTCACAGGCCTCCAGTCCGACAAGTACCCTTCCACTATTACTCTCTGCTTCCTACCATTAAGCCAATTGTGTATCCAATTTCGGAGCTCTTCCTGTATTCCATGAGATCTAACCTTCCAGAGCAGCCTACCATGTGGAACCTTATCAAAGGCCTTACTGAAATCTGTATAGACTACATCTACTGCCCTGCCCTCATCAACCTTCCTGGTCACTTCATCAAAGAACTCTAACAAATTTGTGAGGCATGATCTCCCACGCACGAAGCCATACTGACTACTCCCAATCAAACCCAGTCTTCCCAAATGCATGTATATCTTATCCCTCAGAATCTTCTCAAGTAACTTACCTACCATAGATGTTATTTTTCCTGGTCCATAATTCCCAGGGTTTTCTTTACAGCCCTTCTTGAATAAGGGCACAACATTCCCTACCCTCCAGTCTTCGGGACCTCACCCGTGGCTAATGATGATGCAAATATATCAGCCAGGGCCCCCACAATTTCTTCTCTGCCTCTTGCAGGGTTCTTGGATTTATCTGGCCAGCACCAAAAGATTGTCCCCAAGATACTGCCACTAACTGCCCCAGGTTCCCAAGTCTTCATGCATTGTAAACACAGAGGAGAACTATTCATTGAGGACCTCACCCATCTCCTGCAGTCCCACACATACATGTCCACTTTGGTCCTTGAGGCGTCCTATTTGTTCTCCAGTTATTCTTCTTCCTTTAATATACTGAAAGAATCCTTTGGATTCACCTTAATCTTCTCAGCCAAAGCTATCTTGTGGCCCCTTTTCATCTTCCTGATTTTCTTCTTCAGTAAACTCCTGTATCCCGTATATATCTCCAGGATTCCCTTGATCCCGGCTGCCTGTTCCTGAGCCATGCACCTCCTTCTTTTTCCTAGTCAAAGCCTCAATATCTCTTGCCACCCAGGGTTCCCTACTCATGCCAACCTTCACCCTCACAGGAACATATAGACTTTGAACTCTAACTATCACACTTTTAAAGGTCTCCCACTTGCCAGATGTCCCTTTGCCTGCAAAAAAAACTCCTCCAATCAACCCCTGCAAGCTCCATCAAAATTCACCTTACCCCAGTTTAGGACTACCAGAGTCTCCGTGAGGAAGAAACTTCATTTTCTGGTCCAATGCTATGAAGAATTCTGGACAAATGCACCTGGACAAACAGCTTTTCTAGATTCAGTTGTCAATAGGGACGTGTTTAATTCCTCCACAAAATCTGAAGCCAAAATTATTGACATTCTTGACGCTGCCATCAAGTTTCTTGAACATAGTCACACCACCTGGTACTAAAATCCTTTATCTGCTTGAGCCTGTGATATTTGTGTCAAGTGGCATTCAGTGGCAGCTGTATCACTATGTATTTTTAAAAATAAGGACAAATAATTATAGCGTCAACTCGGCTCCAAGATTTCTACTTCTGCCTCAGAGGGTAGTGTGTTGACGTCCTTCCTTAGATAGTTTATCACAAAGTCCAGGCTGCCCCTTAAATACAGGCCTGAGGGACTGATTCACTGAGGCAGGAGGTATTGTACCAAGACTCTATTTGTTCTCGCAGGTAGATGCGAAAGATGAGATTTTGAAGACGAGCAGAGAGAGTTTGTCCTGGTGTCCTGGTCAATATCTATCTCTGAATGAACATCCTTGAAAACAGACTGATTGGAATGAAGGAGCAAATTACTGCAGATGCTGGAATCTGTACTGATAACAAAAAGTGCTGAGATCACAGTGGGTCAGGCAGGTAGAAACCTCATCATCACTCACGGGAGCTTGCTGTGCCAAAAGTGATAGCCATGATTTCTACATAACAACAGTGACTACACTGCAACATTCCTTTCTGGAACAATCTGTAGATATGGAAGCTATGATGTAAGTGATAACAATTCTTTAATAACAATTAAAGAAAAATGACAGCCATTACTTACCACAAAGGAATGGTCCTTGGCATTGCTGGTTAAAGTCATTCCAAGCTGCATGTTGTCCTTATGTTCCGATACAAAAGGCAGGGATACTCTTCCTTGTGTGAATGAATTGACAGTAGATTAGATAAGCCTGCAACCACCAGTGTTTATCATCAAATTTATCTTACTCCTCATTTCATTTTAATTCCAATTTTCTTCACCCAGAGATAAGGTTAGTGGCTAATGTTGATTGGAATATAAATAAATATTAAGTTAAATATTCGTTTTGATTTGGTTTATTGTAGTCACATGTACCTAAGAACAGTGAAGTGTTCTGTTTTGCGAGCAGTACAGACAGATCAGAGCAAACAAGGACATACAGATCATAGGGTGCTTAGACAGAGCAAGGCAGACGTTGTCATGGCTGCACAGGAGGTGCACAAAAGCAAGGTCAACACTAGATTTGAAATTAGAGAGATCCATTCAGCAGGCCAACAACATCAGAAGAGAAGCTGTTCTTGAACCTGTTTGTACGTGTGTTCAAGCTTCTGTATCTTCTGCCCAACAGAAGAGGTTGGAAGAGGGTATTACTGGGAAGGGAGGGATCTTTGATGAAATTGGCTGTCTTTCCGCAGCAACGAGAAGTGTAAATGGAGTCCATGGATGGGAGATTGGCTTAGCATAAGTTCAATTACTTTCAGACGAAGTGATAGTAGTCCTCATAAATCGCATTTATTTAGTATCATTGTGTCATTATATTTGTTGGAAAAGCACAACATTGACTACCTATCACACATGCTTTCCTCAACAAGTGTGATTTTTTTCCAATGTGTTCAATATGAACAGTAGCTCATTCAAGTGACCATTCCTCGCTGCCTAAGTAACACTGCTGACAGGCTAATTGACTGTGGAAGGCTTCACCAAGTGCATTTGGTGCAGTAGGTAAGTGAAAGTGTGATGATGATCCAAATTTCTAACTACTTTGTCCTTCTCTTGTAGTCTTGTGCCACTCTGATGAAATCCCAGAGCTTATCAGCAAGGAGAGAAGACCATTAGGGTTCATGTATCCCAACAAGATGCACTTTCCCTTGGTTCCATTGGGAATACTATCTCACATTACCAGAGCTAAGAGTGAGCATGCTGTACTTTTAAAATGTGCATTCGGAGATGTGCCCCTAGGATCAGGATCATCAGCCACAAAAGGAGCCACAGAACCCAGGATCAATAACGTGGAATTTCTGAGGTGGACAATCATTTTGGTTAGACTGATCAGCAATCAGTGATTGCTGGTCATGATGACTTTTAAACCCTGAGAACAGACATCTACCTGCCTTGTGTAGCCCAGCAGAACTGAAACCATGCAAAGTTACTGGATCATCCATTTCAAAGTGAGATATATTTTCCAACGCAATCAGACATTTTATAATCCATGATACAACAAAGAATACAATACCCAGGTTCAGCTTCCCACATCCATAGTTTGTCTGGTTTCTCACTGGGCACCGGTAAACATCCCCCGTCCTTTTCTTCCCAACACCAGCCCATGGGGCACCAACCAGAAGCCTGTTCCAGAACAGGAGAATAATGAATTGTGAAATCCTGCAACTGTCGAGTAAAGGTTACATAGAATTCCTTTTATTGCTGCCTAGGCCAGCATTTACTGCCCATCCCTAATTGCCCCAGAGGGCAGTAAAGAGTCAACCATATTGCTGTGGGTCTGGAGTCACATGTAGGCCAGGCTGGGTACGGATGGCAGATTCCTGTGAACCAGATGGGATTTTTTCCAAAAATAGACAATGGCTTTTTTTGGTCATTGTTAGATTTGGAATTATAGAGTTTTGTTGAATTCAAATTCCTTGGCAGAATTTGAACCTGGGTGACTAGATTAATAATCTAGTGATAATATCACTAGGCCATTGCCTCCCCCTATATAAAGAGAGAGATCAGTCAGCCCAACTAATCCAAATCATTCCACTCCTTCTAGCCCTTTCTCACCTTACTATATCAGAATTTTCTTCCAACCCATTCCCATTTAACTGATTGCCAAGCTTCCCTTGAAAAGCATTTCTGCTATTTGTCTCAAATAGACTTTGTTTTCTAGTGATTGCCACATTATACTCAACCCTTAGGGGCACGGGGGGTGTGCAAGTATCTTCCTGATTTCCATGCTGGAACACAAAGTGAGAGAGAAGGGAATCTTGTGCAGGAAAGGTCTGGAATTTGGGGAGGTGGTGCAGTGCGGGACAGGGAGAGTAGAACAGTGTAGGTGAGACAGTATAAACTAAATAGCTACAGTTTCCTTTTAAGTAGTTACCAAAGGAAAACATATTCTTACATTTTAAATCAGACTGAGGCCAATCAACAGTTCAAAAAAACCCCAAATCCCAAAACCATTGGGAACAGTTTAAAACAGAACTTGATTTTTTTGCAAAGTCTGGATCAACAGGTTTCCCACTGAGAGCAGCTCAGGGCTACATTAGACTTTGCATCTTAGAAATAGGTTGTGCTTGGCTTTGGAAACTAACTCAGAAGCTAAAAGACATATTTCCAAAGAAGATATTGGACTCCATCATCTCAGCTGTGTAAATACACGGCAACCCAAAGGAAATAATTCTGAGCATTAGAATGTTAACAAAAACCTTTTTTATTTCACAAAAATAGAAATAACCAAAAAATTCTCAATGTGTGTCGCCTGAACTGCGTGCCCCCCACTGTGTGCGTTGGTTTGTCTTTTCCGACTCATTCAACCATCCGGTGGTTTCTGTTACTTTCAGCAAGGTTTGACTTCCCTTTTGTTGAATAATGTCTAACCTGGTGGCTGGACCAAGTTTCTGTGGTTAGAATATTTTTGTCCAACCTGAGAAAATCATTCTTAGTGTGCCGGTGTGGACTCAACCTGGGGACGAGTGGAATGCAAAGGATCAAAAGAGGCTCCTGAAGTCTGTGCGTCTGGTCCCAGTTCTGAAATCCCTCCCCCAGTTCTCTCTGGCCCCTTTGTGAACTTGTCAATATTTGTCTTGACTCCACAACTTCCTTGCTGTCCACATCCACTGTAAAAGGGAATCCACTTCCTACACTTGAGGGTGAGGTGTTTACAATCATTAACTGGATTTGGATAGTGTAGCTGGAGAGAAACAACCTCCCACACCATGAAGAGTTGATAACCAGAGGATACAGATTTAACGTTCTTGGCAAAGGAATCAAAGATAACATAAGGAAAGTGTATTTTAATACCACGAGTTGTTAGAATTTGAGATGGTTATTCAAAGGGAATTGGACTAATATTACAAGGAGAAAAGAGTTGCAGAATAAAAGCAGGGGAGAGGGATTAACTGGATTGGTCTTTGAAAGAGCTAGTACAATTTGATGGGCCGATTGACATCCTTTTTGTGTTTCTATGGCACCTTTGTTATGATCTGAGTTTTTGGTAATACTGGACAAGCCAGATTCCTGATTGAAACCTGATGCGTGATTGTAGATTTATTTTTGTGGTTGGTTACCACAGTGGTGAGTCACTGAACATTCACACGAGGCTGAGAAGGCTCTTTTAGCACAAAAACATTCGTGAACCATACAAAAGAGAAAATAATAAAGGTCTCTATGTATAACGTGTTTCACAGTTTGGAGATTTCACCTACTAACTCACCCTTCTGTTCAGCTGAAAACTCATCCTGAGCTGTTTTATTTTCACTCATAGGATGTGGGCATCACTGCCTGGGCCAGCATTTATTACCCATCGCCAGTTGCCCCTTGAGCAGGCGGGGGTGAGCTGCCTTCTTGAACCGCTGCAGTCCATGTGCTATTGGTAGACCCACGATGCCCTTAGGGAGGGAATTCCAGGATTTTGACGTAGCGAAACTGATGGAACAGCAATATATTTCCAAGTCGTGATAATGAGAGATTTGAAGGGGAACTTGCAGGGAGTGGTTCCCATGTACCTGGTGCCCTTGTCCTTCTAGATGGAAGTGATCATGAGTTTGGAAGGTGCTGCCTGAGGATCTTTGGTGAATTTCTGCAGTGCATCTTGTAGATGTTACACACTGCTGCTACTGAGTGTCGGTGGTGGAGGGAGTGGATACTTGTGGATGTAGTGCTGATCAAGTGGGCTGCTTTGTGCTGGATGGTGTCAAGCTTCTTGAGTATTGTCGGGGCTGCACTCATCCAGGCAAGTGGGGAGTATTCCATCACACTCCTGACTTGTGCCTTGTAGATGGTGGAAAATTTTCTTAAAATTATATTACCAAGTTACTGACTAAACTGCTTGTGGAGACAGTTTCTACTTAGTTGATTAAAATCTTTCATATCACATCCTCCTGAAGCATGTTGAATAACTTCACATAATTGGAATTTATTGGAGTACAATGGCTTCTGTTACAGAGACAAATGTTATGTTTTGCACAGCAAAGGCTCAACACAACAATAAAATCCAACAAAGCAATAAAATTAATGAGCAGTTAATCTGTCTTTTGATTTGTTTTTTGAGTGACAAATGTTGACTAGCAAACTGGGTCAACGGTAGGTCAGCATCCAAATAGCATCATGGAATCCTTATGGCTCACCTGATAAGGGATTATGAGACCTTGGTTTGAAATACATCTGCAGCTCTCTCGCATTCCTTTCCCTATCGTCTGGAATGTTTGTTTAGTTTATCTTATCAAGTCCGGATGTGGAAAAAGATTCACAACCTTCCGATTCAGAGTCAAGAAAATTTTCACCCCAGCTCCTGAATTCGTCCAAAGACGTGCACCTCCTTGGTTTCTAGGTATAGTAAGATACAGTACCTTGCATATTTTTAAGTATAATTTGCTGCCCCTGTAATAATCAAAGTAGCACAGCTGATGTTCTCCATTCACAAGTAGAAAAATTAAACTTGTTCTTTTTGTATCATCACTACACATTAATGATACCACAGTGACAACAGCCTGCCTGTGACTGACACCTTGTTATCTCAGATTCTCCAGCATCTGCAGTTCCTACTATCTCTGATATAATTTTAACCCCACTGTGAAGCGTCTTCTAAGGATGCCCACCTTGAAGAAGTTACCCTCCTCCCTCCGGAAAAACCTCAGTGGATCTCTCTCCCACTGTAACACTCTCGTAATCTCTTCGGCCTTGAAACTGCTCGCACCTTTACTGGCTCCATCCCTGCCTCTTTGACCTGTCTGTCTCCTCTCCACCTATCTTCTCCTCTATCCATCTTCTATCCGCCTCCCCCTCTCTCCCTATTTATTGCAGAACCCCCTTCCCCTCCCCCATTTCTGATGAAGGGTGTCGGCCCGAAACGCCAGCTTTCCTGCTCCTATGATGCTGCTTGGCCTGCTGTGTTCATTCAGCTCTACACCTTGTTGCCTCTGACTGTGGATTGTTTTATCACAGTGATGATGCCTAGAGGTTTCTGTGTTTTATTGGGATAGAGACATGTCCAGGGATCATTCTTTTGTGTTACCTGCTCCAAGCAAAGTGAAAACAGCAATCGCAGCCAAATGCCATATCCATTCCTGCAGAGATCAGCTGCATAATTTTACTGAGTGGCTCTGTCAACTCTTAATGGAAATTAATGCCAAGTTTCGCCCATTCTGTGCTATGCCCCCCACCACTCAGAGATGAATTGGATATTCAAACGTCGGAAACTATCAGCTGGTATCTATTGTCCCACCAACCTGGGCTGGATCCCACATCCCACAGGTGAAAGCCTCGTACCTTACCCACCCAGACCTACCCCAGGGTTGGCTCCGACTTCCCACATCAAAAGCGTGTGTTTTAAACAGGGATTTGAGACTTGTTCTCCTTCAAACAATCTCATGAACATTGTGAAGGACCACTGCTGTAAAAGTACCACAAGGACCAAGAAGGGTCAAAGTAATCTTGTCATGAAACAATCTGAAACATTCTGATCACCTTTACCAACCCTGAACAGCCTGTCTGTCAGTAATATCTCAGTGAAAATAACAGCAATGAATTAAACGCATGTACAGGGGATCTTTGCTGATTTGTCTTTCCCAGATGTTTAAAAAAACTTTTCATTTATAGGATGTGGGCTTTGCTGGATGGGCCTGCATTTATTCCCCACCTGTAATTTCCCTGGGGAAGGTGTTGGTGAGCCACTTGCAGTCCCTTATGGTGTAGGTAGCCATTACGGAGAGGGTTCCAGGATTTGGACCCAGCAATGATGAAGGAAAATCTTATGTGTACATTGCTGATGGAAATGCTCACGATAAAGCTCCTCTAATTGCTTTTTCCTGACAAAACGACTGTCTGAGAATTTGGTAAAGAATGGCAGCCAAACCAGACCAGAGTAAAGCTCAGTGCATTTAGGATGCAACAAATAAACAGAAGCGAAGCTAATTCTGGCCACGTTGCAGATTCTCCGCATCTGACCTTCCTTTATCAGTCACATAAATTAAACACAAATTGGAACTTGGCAGCATAAGGAGGAATCTTCTTAAGATAAGCACATGTTATGTGATGGAATAAAAATATGGAATAAAGCTTGCCATTGTCATCACTCTGCTAATTAGTAAATAAACAGCATTCAGCATTGAAATTGAGTTATCACTCATGGA